ACTTGGGGAGCATTTGTCAAGCTATTTAGAAGATATCGGATATTTAGAGGATATCTAATATTTCAATTTTCCCCTAAAAGTCTCAATTCTTCGATTTTCAGCCCCGACGGGAACACCCAGCCGATGCACGCCAATCACAATATGGACTATTCATAAAGAACTCGCTATTCAAATATACAACAAACGACTTGTACATATGTGTATCCAGTTTCATTCAAATATTTGTAAACCATTTTCGTTTCTTTCTTCATATCGTTTCTATTTGATCACTGAAAAACCCCCCCCTTTGTAAATCCGGTGTGTTTCCCTTTTTTAAAGGTGAAACCCATTGAAATGTGTACAACTTGTGTCGAAGAAAATTTCGACAAAGTGAAGAAAGGAAACGGGATATGGAATGGCTCAGCATTCAGTTTAAAAGACTCAGACTCACTCAGGGACCCGAACTCGGGTTGTTTTCCCACCGATTGAGCCATTTCTTCCCTTTCTCCCACCATTCTCTCTCGGGTCCACAATCAACAGGAACGATTTTATTTCTTTTTCATTTCTTTTTGTCATTATTTTGATTCATTTGATTGGTTCATTTGATTTGATTGGTAACTCTAGATCGATTGGAAAATCATCCTCACATCTATCACTGGATATCTCAAATTTCCATACAAGTTAACAGATGTTTAATTGAAGCCTGGCTTAGCCTAGGATCCTAGTCTGGCTCCATTGAAGCATTGGAGTCTAGTCTAGCTCCAGCCTAGTCTAGCTCCAGCCTAGTCAGGCTCCAGCAGCCTAGTCTAGCTCCAGCAGCCTAGTCTGGCTCCAGTAGCCTAGTCTGGCTCCAGCAGCCTAGTCTGGCTCCAGCCTAGTCTAGCTCCAGCAGCCTAGTCTAGCTCCAGCCTAGTCTGGCTCCAGCAGCCTGGTCTGCCTCCAGCCTAGTCTACCGTAATCCTGATCTGTTTGACCTAAGCTGGCCTAATCCATCCAATCACCAATCAATTTTCGTTATACTTATAATTTCGCTATCAACTACATATGATATGCTATCTGTGGCCTGTTCGTCGATTCCCAGTGTGTGTGTGTGTATTTCCGAAATTCCTTTTTCGATAAATCCCCTTCGAATCAATTCATCATCATCAAAAGCAAGAACAACAAAACCGTGTACATTCTATCCCGTGAATTTGCTGTTCTATTTCAAATTTCATTTTACTATTCGATTCGTAAATTATTCCTTTTATACAAAAATTTCCATTATGCCTTGTGTTTTTTTCTCTGATACGTTCAAAAAAAAAGCTGAGAAATTTCTAATAGGCGCATATGTTTCTTTTTCGAGTTTCTTTTCATTTTCTTTTCATTTTTCTTTTCATTTTTTCATTTTTTTTATTTTTTGGGATTTTAAATGCAAGTTTTTTTGTTTTGTTTACTATGTTTTATTTGTTTTATTCATCAAATGTGAAGGTGATTTGGGATTTCGACTTTACTCTTTCGAAAATTGCAAACGTACACCTTCTGGCACAGCGAATTCTTCATAGTTTTTTTTGTTCTATAAACTGCTCGTTTTCGCAAGAAGACTAGTGCACGAGAAGGAGTGTGTTTACGAGCACAAAATGAAGCTGAAGGCGAATCTGCAGCTATAGAAAGATTCTAAGTGCTATAGAAAGAAGAGCTATAGAAAGATTCTCCATCTAACGCGTTTGGCACTGATTTCAAACTGTAAACTCATAATATAGTTTACAAGTATTGCTTTTATTTCATAAATTATCTAGATCACAATCCCAAAGTCACCCTAAAATTGATGATTCTGTATATTTATGGAAAAAAAATGTTTCTATTAAAATTGCTTTGTGTGAAAGAGACGATGAGGCCGGGCGGAGAGACAGGCAAAGTCTGCAATCATATTCATGCAATCATATTTCATTCGTTTGTCTGTCCTTTCAGCCGGTCTAAACGTGCCAATTGATTCGCATTCACCCCCGTTCCCCAATTCTGATTTCTATATAGGCACTCGCTTGTCTCATCCCCTCCCTTCGCTCCTCTTCCCTCTCTTCCTCTTCCCTCATCTTCCCTCGTCTTCCCCCTCTTCCCTTCCCTTCCCTCCTTCCCCAATCCATTCATCCATTCGATTCTTTTCTTTATTTCACAACACTGTATATAGACATGGCTTTTGTGAAATAAAACTTTCAATTTCTCAAAGATAACCGAATACACAGTTACACAAATCTAACAGCAAATGACTGTACTCTACAGAATTCGATGGAATATCGTAAGCCGGTCTAAATCTCCACGATTGAGAGAATGTGAACAGATCCAGCTGTGATATCATACCAGCTAGTCAAGCTTACAGTAATCTCGATGACTACGGTGGAAAATATTTGGTACTGCAAGGCAGTAACGTCGCGTAACTTGGTTACGGATTACGATAGTGTCTATAGTTATGGTTACTGTAGCATCTACTGGCTGAGTCACTCTTTAGCAAAGTCGATAAAGCAGCTAAGTTTATGTACAAGTTGACGATCGGAAAACGTTTTCAAGTTACAAATTAACCGTTATCATTTATATAAATTCTTATGTGAAAGACAAATTCAATTCTTTTTTCTGGAAACCCGCCAATTGCTACAAATTTGTGGAAAAGAGAAAAAGAAGAGAAAAAGGAGAGAAAGGAGAAAAAGGAGAAAGAGGAGGAAGAGGAGAAAGAGGAGAGAAAGGAGAGAAAGGAGAAAAAGGAGAGAAAAAGCTCACTTGATGATCATTGATTCTCGGAAAGCTTTTTATTTCACAGAAAAAGAAACGATTGAAGTAAACAGATACGAAGATTTACTTTGGAACATTGTGAGAAATGGATTGATTTTTTGGAAAGGAAATGTCTTAGTCTCTTTGTTATATAGACACTCTAAACCTACATGATTCGGCGCTTAAAGGCGTACGACAGTCAACTAACGTAATCGTTTACCGTAACTCGCTACCGTAACCCGCAACCCAGTTACAGTAGCTCAAATAATTGTAAACAAATTCGGCACTATTATATCCCCCACGGAGCCCGCCTTCCCCACACATCAATAGGAAGATATCCCCAAATGTAAATCGAGAAAGTAAACCACAAGTATAATTCCAATTTCGTATCTTCGGGATGACCACCATTCACACGAAAGCTATAGAAAGTCTTTAAGGAAATGGCTAAATGAAGAAATAAGAAGCAATAAGAGTAGCGCTTGTCATCACCTTTCCGACCTTGTGGAGTTTATATTAAGTGTTGAACTAAAGATACTAAAAAAAGATCGATGATCGGAAAAAGCAATCAATCTTTAACAGAATTGCTTTCACATAACCTCCAGAAATTGATCTTTTGCCTTTTTTATTATAGAATTTTAATGTTAATTTTTTTTAATTAGAAATTTTGGGGATATATATGTCGTAACCGCTTACGAAATTCAGCCGCTAACGAATCATTGAGGGAAATGAGGTGAGTGAGGGAAATGGCTTGGCTTGGCTTGGCTTGGCTTGGCTTGGCTTCACTATTCTATTCAATGCTTCTTCAGCTACAGTACTGGACAATGAAATATCATATTTGAAAAACGATCGTCACTTTCGCGCGTCTGTAACTCTCTTGTCTTTGAGTTTAAACTATTAGTGTTATACATTTTCTGAAAGCTCTTTTCAAGGGCTACACAATGGTAATATTAATATTTAGAAATACGGTAAAGACAAGGGAGTTAAATGTATTTCTAAGGGTCAGTTAGAGGGAGAGTTTTGTTTTATGGGAGATTAGCTTTGCGGGTAAAACCGCACATTGCTTGAGATGAGAAAATGTATAACACTAATAGTTTAAACTCAAAGACAAGAGAGTTACAGACGCGCGAAAGTGACGATCTTTTTTCCAATATGATATTTCATTGTCCAGTAGTGTATAATCCTTTTTCATCTGGGAGAGTAAATCCTTATGAAGCTCTGTGAAGTTCAATCATAACTGTGAAGTTCAATCTTAATTGAACTCCATAGTACCACAAATTTCTTCAGTCAATCTTTGTGGAACACGAAAAACACTCGAAAATCTCTATTATCGTGTTTCTTATTTGAAAGAATTTTGTGAAAAACCGGTTTTCACTTGATTTCGTTATTTCAATGAGACAAATAATATGGGGATTTTTCTCGATCAAATCGATCTTTTCCTTTTTCCTTTCTTTTCAATCATCGATCACTCAAATTCTCAGCATACCAAATAAAGATTTTCACAAGATTTTCAAATTTTTATTTCAAAGATTTTTATTTCAAAAGATTTAACACTTTATCATTTGTTCAAGAAAGAAAAAAAAAGCTCATTGGGTCTTAAATAAATAGAAAATTTTGTTAAGTGATTTGGAAAAAGAGTGATTTTTGAGGTCTAATTGATAAGTGAAAGGGGAACAGTAGACGAGAACAGACAACAAGAAAACAAAAAAAGAAAATAGAGAATAACATTTGGAAAATGATCGATTTTTCTTTCGATATTTCTGTCTGGAGAAATGAGAAGACAAAAACAATCGAAATTAGTCCAAAGAATCAACTTGCGTTCACAGATCCGTTAGCCGAATAAATAGCTTGTCTTCGTTTTGACACAACTTAAGGCTTTTGTCCAACTTTAGCATCGTTTATCATATCATAATTTAGAGCAATAGTTTTGCCACGCTTCAAACAATCAACCTGGAATCTTGAGAAAGTCTACACAGATGTCTACACAGATGTCTACACAGATATCACTGTTTTATTTGATCTTTTTAAATTTAAACGTTAATCTGCAATGATGCCAAAAAAAAATGAAGATTTTCTTGATCTGAAAAAGGAAAAGGAGGGGAAGGCATGTGTCAGAATATGTGGGAGACACGTCAAACACGGACATTTCCTTTCGCTTCTTTCATGCGCACCACTCCCCTTGAGATACGTGATAAACACACCCATTCGCATCCACACCCATCCGCACATCTTCCATAGATCTTCTAGATCCCATCTTCTAGGAGAAGAGTCTCAATCATCCAATCATGTACATCACCTTTCTTGTCTTCGCCACTTTCTCAACGGTTTCATCGATCAATGGTAGGTTGTATCATAGTTTTCCTTTCTATTTTCAGCATATCGATACAGTACAAAAAGATAAAACTATCGTACTTCAAACTTTCAACGATATTTAGCCTATTATACTCCAAAAAAATCCCTCCCTCTCAGCTAATCCTTTTCGAAAAACATCGAGGGGAACTACCGTAGCCTAGTGAAGCTGCTAGTTTACATTTGATAAGCTCAATTTCGAAATCATTGACTCAGTCTTGTCGAATCATACCCAAAATTGAAGTAATTACTTGAAAACTGATGCTTTGATCGTTTTAAATGTCTCCTAGGAAACGCATTAGCCCAGATAGTATCGACTGGTACAAGAGCCTAGATACTGGTACAAGATCTACTGGTACCCGACTGGTACAAGATCTTCAATCGGTTCCACATGCATTTTAGTTGATGTTTTGTTTGTTATAAACTTTATTATGTTATAAACGTTAATATTTTATACATGTTAAATGTTATAAATTTTAAACCGTTTACTCTTTCTGTTAAAATTTGGTGAATATCTTTGTAAGGCTGGCTGGCTCTATCCTTTGAACTGTCCCTTTCAAATCTTTCCTTTTCCAGAAATCGAAAGAAATCCTCTAGAATGCGTCCGGCCATGGCAACAGCCGATGCTAACGAGAGCTCTGATCGGACAACCCCCTCGGGCACATATCTGTCATCCAGAAGGGACAAAATGCCCAAAGGGTTCGACAATTTTCGATTAGTTACTGAAATTCAATATCTTTTGCCATTTGATTTGATTTTTTTCAAAATCTATAGTTCATAGATTTATAAAAATGGAAAATTACTAAATTTTAGGCAGAAATGAGCAATGTCAATTCTCTTTCCGTAATTTCCGCTACGTTTGCTGCGAGGATCGACCAAACGAGGATCCACCAGGTAATAAAATGATTCAGCTTTCTAAATGATGCTTCTATTCTATAGTCCGACCAAAGAAAAACCCTTGATTACTGTAATTCAAATTGCAGTAATGAAATCAAATGTGAAATGGGATCACGATAGCTTTCTAGAAAAGATAGAAAAGCGAGAACGCATTGGCCATTAGAGAACTCATCTAATCACTTAAATTTTGCATTTAAAAGAACTTTGAGTTACGGTAGCTTGCATTGGGTGCTTTCTCGAGAAAACTTGAACAATCTTGAACAAAGAACAATGCTCATTTTGTTGCAGAGTGTCCTCGCTATCACGACACTCTTCTAACATTGTGCGATGGTCGAGAGAATGGCTGTCCAAAAGGCTTTCGTTGTCTCGGCTCTCGGCACGATGAGTCAATCCATTTATGTTGTCGTCCAAATCTTGACCTCAAATATCCCGAGCCAGAGACAAGTTGCCGAAAAGAGGCTAATTTCCGAAAATTATTCAAGATTTTAGCGTTCAAAGACAAGAAACTCGTGCCAAAGTATTTGCCGATCGCTCCAAAGAATGTGGCTCAGGTTCGTGTGAGGAAGGAAGAGGGATATGTTTAAGTAAATAAAAAACGTTTATACAATTAGCTCTTAGTTTAGTTTTCAGTTTCATAGAGCAAATTCTAAACTTAAGTTCACAAAATTCAGATTCATTTCGGTAATCACACGATTCTCACGGGCGAGCTTTTCTCGGTGGACGAGCTCGAGCGGTTGGTGATGGAGCCGACAATCGAGTTGCCCCAATGGAACAATCAAGCACTTTACACGATTATTCTATTTGGTTAGTGGAGAAGTTGGAAAAATCGATGTGAATTGTTTAGACATTTCATCACCGAATCCCGTTTATGTGCGCTGGTTGGCGTTGAATGTGCCGATGAATGAAGGGCTGTTGGCGGTGAATTCAAAAGCGAGAATTGTCGAGGTGTACGACGCACCACATCGAGAGGATAAACCAACTGGTTCGACTTCACTTCCAGAGACTCAAATGCTTTTTTTTTTAAAACGTGTCAACTTTTTGAAAACCACCGTAATCTTCTCTTTGTCCGTCTTTAATTTATCTTGTTCGATTCTATGAGGGTTAACGAATCAGATAGCAAAGTTGATTGGTTGGCAACTCAGGCACGGTTATGGTAGTTTTAAAAAGTGTGTTACCCATTGAACTAGCTTTTACTAAACCTTTAAACCAACAAGGCGCTAATATAATCACAAAATTTGGTGTGCAGGTATGACTGACTATAACCGGGACACTTGTAGAGTTATTATGAATCTGCGTATGCTGCCTGCTGCCAATTTAATTTTTTTTAATGAGATGGTAAATTATTGTGGCTGGCCGGTTGGCTGGCGTTGTCGCAATTTCTCGAGTTCAAATCTGTATTTAGAAAGAGATCGGCAGTTTACATGTCACACAGTTTTATATTATTCTCACTTCTCCTTATTCCTTTATTTTCCAGGCATGCACGTTCTAATCCTCGCCGTTTTCGAGCAGAAAGACGTCTGGAATGGGAAAAGTATCGGGAAATTCGATCCGATTGGGGTAAACTGAAAGATGAATTGGTTTTCTAGTTTATTTTATTTCTAACAAAATTTCTAGATTTCTAGATTTCTAGATTTCTAGTTTTCTAGTTTTCTAGTTTTCTAGATTTCTAGATTTCTGGCTTTCTAGTTTTCTAGTTTTCTAGATTTCTGGATTTCTAGATTTCTGGATTTCTAGATTTCTAGATTTCTAGTTTTCTAGATTTCTAGTTTTCTAGTTTTCTAGATTTCTAGATTTCTAGATTTCTTGCTTTCTAGATTTCTAGATTTCTAGTTTTCTAGTTTTCTAGATTTCTAGTTTTCTTGATTTCTAGATTTCTAGTTTTCTTGATTTCTTGCTTTCTAGATTTCTAGATTTCTAGTTTTCTAGATTTCTAGTACAATATCTCAAATCTGGCACGTAAATTTTGTTTTTACAAAAGTGACTCAAAACAAGTGTTCAAACCCGGAAACTCTCTTTTGATCCAAAACATTTGACTCATAGAAATTTCGAGTTATTCAGGTGAATGTGGGTGATTGGATTCGAAAAAACGAAGAGATAATCCCCTTGCAACCGATTGCCGGCAATTTCTATGCGGTTTTTTTTTCATTAAAAATAATGATTAAATCTCTCTTTTCAGTACATGACGATCACTGATTAATGGATTTCACAAAACAAAAGATGGATACTCAAAAAGATTTCAAAAGAGAATAAATATTTTATTGTTTACGAGAAAAGAGGGGAACACAGACTACAGATCGGAAAGCTTTTCACCCAAAAAAAGTGGAATAAAGCGATTGGAATAAAGTGGGACAAGAATGGAAAGCTTTTCACAAATGACTCATTGAAAGTTTTGAGCAAAATTAGGTTCATAGTTGTGATCAAATGTTTACTTGCTCTACAGTAATCTTTATGACTACGATAGACACGATTTCGGTTACTGTAACAGCTAACTGCTTTACGGGTTAATCTTTAAAACCTTAGCTAGAAGAAATTTTACATAAAAACTTTCTAAAGCACTTTAAAGGATGGCTACCGTAACCGGCAACCTAATAGATGTTACAGTAACCAAAATAGTGTCTATCCTGTAAAGATTACTGTAACGTCAACTCATTTAGTGACGGTTCTATATTAGTAAGGCTGTTTCAATGACTATTATGTAAACAGTAAACTGTACCACATGAAAAACAGGTTTAAAAGTTTAATCTACTTTGCCAACGAGATGTTCTTGCTATTACTGAGTTTTTTCCAGAAGAATTGTTGATGAGTGGCAGGACTGTTCCAGGTTAAACCAAGACTTGGCTTCAGCCAGCTTGGCTTCAGCCAACTCTGACTTGACTTGGCTTGCTTGCCCATTAGAACAATACTGTGGTTGGACTTGACTAATTGTTATTGTCTAGCTATTAGTCAAGTCCAACCACAGTATTGTTCTAATGAGCAAGCAAGCCAAGACTTTGCATCTTCTATGTTGGATATGAGAATAATCCGGTGAAACTGTTTCTTGTTTAATATTGAGAAGATGGGAAGGCGAGAATTTAGAAATTCGAACCATATGGGCGTTGGGGAAAGGGAAAGGGAAAAGAAGGGATGGAGAAGGTTGGTCGTGTAAATTGGCCCCACTTTATGGATTGATTGGGCTCATCGCATGTGGACTGCATTAAGGAGAAAAGGGTGGGGGAAATCGAGGAAATGGGAGTGAAGATGGACCATCAGAAGGAGGAGGGGAAGAGCCACTTTGGCACATTCATTCCCAACAACTGTATATTCCATTTCACTTTCTGTACACTTTACTATTCGGTCTATCAAATTCTGTGTCTAATGTTGTCTTGCTCCGTAATACTTTAAGTAGACTGATTCTTGGAAAGCTTGTACTTGTACTTGTCCTGGTACTTGTACTTGTTCTGGTACTTGTCCTTGTCCTGGTACTTGTCCTGGTACTTGTACTTGTCCTTGTACTTCTCCTTGTACTTGTACGGTCTTTTTGAATAAATCTCTTTCAAAAACTATCTTAATCTTGCTATTTTTATCATATAATCAAATAAAACAGATTATTTTCCAACAAAATTGACCACATTTGATTGTTCGTTGTGATTTGTGAGAAGGAAACGAATCACGAAACAATCAAAAGCGGTCTCTTTGTTATTGTTATCTCTTTTTTTAAATGGAAAGACATTTATATTTAAACCGTCAAAAAAAAAACGTTTGTATCATGTAAAGAAAGATAAATGACAACATCGACATTTAGACAACATCGGTGAAATCTCGAAAATGAATGTCGGCGAGTGAACGAGTTGAGCCGAGGGGATTCGAGTAACGGGGAGAGTCGTCCACCTGCAACGATTCGATCACAAATTTGAACTCAAAATGCGAATCAAACAGCAAATCGGCATACTAACAAATAAAACAGCACTTGGTGAATAAAACAGCACTTTTTTTGAATCCAATCACTCACCGAATTCATGCTGGACTCAGATCGAAGATATCTCCGCAACACATCGCCGATCGATTGTTGCCGCGGTCGAGCAGCCAGCACTTCTTGCACACAAGACAAGAAAATATCAAAGATCTGAAAGATCTCAAAGATTCGGTGAACTTTTTGACTTTAACTTTATTCATTCACATTTTGTTTACAATTTTATCTAAGTGCTTTCTGAGGTATCTTGGTGTATCTGTACCATCAAAAGAAATTGTTTGATTGTCTTGTCAATGACAAGAGATTGTCTTGTCAACGACAAGAGATTGTCTTGTCAATGACAAGAGATTGTCTTGTCAATGACAAGACAATCAAACAATTCCCTTTCAATGGTTTAATTGAGATTTATTGGTTAGTAAAAGTAAAAAAAACTGTAAAGTTTTCTGACCTGTTGTCGACTTTCGATGTCTTTTGTCCTTCCTTTCCACGTTGTCATCAGTGTACTCCACTCATCAGGTTTCATCCTTTCACAAGCCTCCTCGAGTTTTGATCTCTCCTAAAATGGCTGAATGATAAAATGACTGTGCTGACGAATGACTTTTCAATAAACAATTTATCAGCTATGATTCATTATCAGCTATGAAACTCTTGATAAACATTTATAATTTATGAAGTAGTAAAATGAAAAGCTATTATTTTATTACTGGCATTAAAAAAATGAATTTAAATCTTATCAAAGTTATTAGCTATTATTCAGACAGCTCAATTTTCATTAGTTTTCATTATTTTTTTCAAATCTGAATAATAGCTAATAACTTGATAAGATTTAAATACATTTTTTTAATACCATTAATAAAATAAAAATCCTTTCTTGAACAAACCTCCGGTGTCAGCCATTTTTTCGGTCTCATATTCGGATCGGTGACTAGCCATGAATAGTCGGGTCTTCCCGTGCTCACATGTGACTTTCGGCGTTCCTAGAAGCTCAAAAATGTTTTCAAATTCAATTTTGCTAAACCTCATTTGTCTCAAATTGTGTCACTTGATGCTCAACTTCGCTCACGACAAGATCGATCATTAGACTGTCATCGGTGTCGCCCAATTTCTAAAATGTTTCAAATTTTTAGCCAATCTTAACAAAGGAAGAGTTGAACTTAAAGTTGTTGTGAATGTTTGCTTTAGGAAAAGTCGTTTATTTCTCTGTTTTTACCTTTCTCTGATCCTCAACACTGTCTTGTCGCGGTGACGCGATGTCGCTTATCCATTTCAACATTATTTTTGTCTAAAAAAGATACTTTTTGTCTTTTTCTAGTTAAAAAGATAAAAGCATATAAAATTCAGAATTGAAGGGTTACAAAATGTAAATAGAAATCAAAATTCAATTCAGCAAAAGTTCAACTCTCACTAAAGTTAACGATCTGGTTTTTGGCGCTTCAAGCTTGGCTTGTGAGTTTGAATTTTGAGCAGTATTAGTGAATTGAAGTCTCTTTTGAAAAGCAAATGAGTTTGAGGTTTTATGGAATTCGATTGATTTGTTGGATTGTTGAATTTTTTAAAAAGTCAGAACATATCATAGGATAGGCCATAAATTGATTGAGTATTCAAAGTTTTTGAAGGAGAAACTTTTAACAGTATCCCATGAGCCACTTAAAACCAATCTATGACATTCATAGTCGAATTCTTTCGTGCTAAAGTTAACGATCTGATTTTTTTTTTTCAAACTTGGCTGGTGAGTTTGAATTTTGAGCAGTATTAGTGAATTGAAGTCTAGCTTTACAATGGACAGTATTGTTGTAGTAATTTCTAAAAGTTCAAGAAAAATCGAAAAGTTTAGATCTGCAAATTGTAAATCTCAATTGTAAATCTCCCTTGTAAATCTGTAAATCTCAAGAAAGATCAATTTCTTAAAGTTCTCAAAGGCAATTCACCGAAAATGAAAATTCCGGTTGAATCAGAGAAGAAAAGAAATGAGGAATGGGGGAAGAGGGTGGGATGGCTCAGATTGGAGATGGTTGCCAGGGAAGAAGTGCTGACTTTCCCTCCTCCCTTCAAATCCCCAAAGATTTACCCATTTTTGATATGAAAAGAGCTCGATCCCCACTCATCTGTATTTGTTTCAAAATATTTTCTCCACCAAGGGAAAAAAACAAGCTAAAAATAGCGGGGGAAAACTTGAAAGTTTACACTCCGTGTGCCTTTCTTAATATACGATTTTAGAGTTACAAAATGAGTTACAAAATTCATAATCGTTTCCCTGAATCAACAGATTCTAGGCTTACAAAATTCTTTGTTGAATTATAAAGGAAATTAAAAATTAAGAGGAGATTAAATAATAGAAGAAGTACTGTAGAATACTGTCGGAAAGAGGACATGAAACGCTAAAATTTTACCTTTAAGTCAGCTTTGAGTCAAAGCTAAATCTTGCGATATTAATGTTTAAAGCGTCAGAAATCGATCGAAAGAAATTTTCAGCCTTTTGAAACTAGCCAAAGCCTTACCGTAATACCTGTAATAGTAGCTGTACAGTCGGGTATTCCAACTTCCTTTTAGAAACTCATTTTTTCTCAGCCCCTAGATTTTTCCCAACTACACTTTTGATACCAAAAAAATACTAGATTTCAAGGGCTATCATTTGCCACTCAAGCGCACACTGTAGCATGAAGCAGTGCGGAGAACGGAGCGTGTAAAGTTAGACTACGCGACAATACCCATTATGACATTACGAGGGGTCGCTACTATTACAGATAAGCGTTTGTTGATCCAAAGCCGGGAATTGAATTAAAAACGAGTCAAAACGAGTCTTACAAACGATTTTCAAATGAAAAGAAGACAACGAAGACAAGGAGGTGTTGAGCTTTTATCCGAATCGGATGCGATGAGAGATGAAAATCTCAAGAAATAGACAAGTTAAGAGATGGGAGAAAAGGGAGAGAGAGATTATCGGATCTACGCATTCCTATCCCCTTTCCAAACCATCCCATCATTAGCGGTCTTTTATGAAATCTTCTGAAATCTCACTCATCATTCAGAACGACTAAAAAAACGACTAAAAAACAGCTGAAAAGAAACAAAAATTGCAATGAGAAATGAGAATATTTTTCAGCGGATTGATGAGAGAATTCTTGACGTGGAGATTCAGAATTGAGTTTATCCTTGAAATGTTCGCAAATAGATATAAGCTTGGTGATATTGTGAAAATACTTTTATCACCTTAACAGATATTTTGAAGAGACTCCATTTCTCATTATAGCCACAAAATAAACTTCAATAACAGGTAATTGGTCCAGAAATAGAGTCGATTTCTCTCTTTGACGTCAGCGTCATTTTCGCATGTCCGGCCTGATCTTGTGTGCAAAGTTCTTTCTCAAACTCTAAAACCATTTCTTTTTCATTCGACTGATCAAATTGTGAATACATTGGAAGATTAGACACATTAACGAGCAATTTACATCAAGTCTGACCCTTGTCCGATTTGGCTTTACGACTTTGAAACGTCACGAGTTTGAGTGTTCAGAAGAAATTCGATCTTGAAACGATCTTGAAACTCGGAATTTGCTCTCGAACTCAAAATTTTGACTTTATAGCTTTTCCGAAAATACATTTTTACGCACCATACTAAAATGCACCAAACTATACCTGTTTTTTGCAAAAAGCGACAATTTTTGTTATAACGCCATTTTTATTTTTTTTTCATCATTTTCTACCGAATTCTTCACAATTAGGACTTCTGCATCAAAGTTAAGTTGCTTTTAAACGTTTTGTTGAACAGACGGCTTTGTTTTGAGGACTTTTTCAGGGCGATGGAAGGCTTGCAAACGCCACATTTAAATCACCACCACATTCATCTTTTACAAAGACGTATGGTTGAAAAAATATGGACAAAAGGGAGTAGCTGTGGATGATACCTTCAAGATTTCACAATATGACCTCCGTCTTTTTTCCCTCTTCGTGTTCGATCATTATGACCGTGGTCTTCCAGCTGCATTCCTCCTTTCTTTGCATTATGACCATCGATGAAAAAGACGGAGGTCATATTGTGAAATCTTGAAGGTATCATCCACAGCTACTCCCTTTTGTCCATATTTTTTCAACCATACGTCTTTGTAAAAGATGAATGTGGTGGTGATTTAAATGTGGCGTTTGCAAGCCTTCCATCGCCCTGAAAAAGTCCTCAAAACAAAGCCGTCTGTTCAACAAAACGTTTAAAAGCAACTTAACTTTGATGCAGAAGTCCTAATTGTGAAGAATCCGTTAGAAAATGAGGAAAAAAAAATAATAAAAATGGCGTTATGACAAAAATTGTCACTTTTTGCAAAAAAACAGGTGATACGGTAGTTTGGTGCATTTTAGTATGATGCGTAAAAATGTATTTCGGAAAAAGCTATAGTAAATTTTGAACAAATTTGCGACCACTAGCTAATTTGAATTTAACGGTCAAATAAAATGGCGTGAATTGGCACTCAAGCCATCATCTGTCATTAATCATTTCTATTCTTCAACTCTTCAATTAAAACGATGACAGGACCCACTCGTCGCGGAAAAGTCACCGATAAAATCACCAAGAAGACGAAGTGAGTTTGAAATTTTTTCTTTTTTTTTTACTTTTACTTTTTTACTTGCTAAGATTAACCTTGTTTTGCTTTAAATCGACGAATTAATGTTTTATTTTAAAAAATGAAGTATTTGGATGCAAATTATTTAGCTTAACGGTAATTTTAGAGATACATCGGTGATGGAAAAGGAGGCGAGCCAAGAAAAGAAAGGACCACCCGCAAAAGGGCCAGCTAAAGAGGTGGCCTTATTTTAAAGCTAGTTAAAAAGTTTACCTTGCTTAGTCTTTTGTCGTTTGTTACATCTCTATTTTAGGATAAAGGACCGCGCGTCAAGCCATCAACGATCCCGATGAATCGCGAAAGTCAAGTGCATCACGTGTCCGCCGAGCCAACCGAAGATGCCACACGACAAGAAAAATACAAGATGACCCATCGACTGAAAGTATTATTTGATTCGCTTTGTTTATGCCACCATTTTTTTAGAAGCTGAGGTTGACCAACACGAAGGTTAAATCCGGCCGGCTAACATCGGAAATCGAGTCAGCCATCGACAAATTCATCGACCATGCTAAAGAAGCCGGAGTGGAGGGAGTGCGCAAAGAATTCAACTCCAACAAAACCTACGTCCCGTACGACTACATATTTGAAGCATTTACGAAAAATAAAGACAAAAATCGATTCCCGGTTGGTTTATCATTTTCCATTCACAGTTTCCAATGTTTTGCTTTAGGACGTAGTTTGCCTCGATGGAACGCGCGTGGTGCTGAAGTGCGACTACGGAAATTACATTGCGGCCGATGGGGACTACGTGAATGCCAATTGGATCGAACTTGAACGTATAGCTTGATTTGCTTCATACTTTAAATAAATTTATTTAGATGTTGATCGAAAGTACATTGCAGCTCAAGGACCTTTACCCAACACAATTGAGGATTTTTGGCGAATGGTTTTTCAGGTTACCATTTGATTAATAAACAACTTTTAAAAACTATTTAGGAGGGTGTTTCCTCAATTGTGATGATGTGCAAATTTATCGAAAACGGTCAGCCAAAATGTGCCGAATACTGGCCGATGAAGCAAGGCGACTATAAGAACTATGGGAAAATGTTCATCAACAACAAGAAGGTATCATTGTTAAAGTTTTTGTGTACACATTTTGTATTTAGGAAGAAAAGGGCGGAGGCGAGAAGTTCGACACGTACACGCTAGAGGTTTTGCCTGATGGATGCTCGAATTCAATCATCGTCAAGCTGATCCACTGTACTTCATGGCCCGATCACGGCGTTCCGACTTCAGGACGAATGATTTTGAGGATGCTCAAACTGGTTAAGGTATTATTTTGTGAATTAGTAACTAGGCTCAAAAAAGCTGTACTTTCTGATAATTATCCAGGCTTCCGTAAATATTCTTTGGTACTAATTGCTTCGTTTAGGATGCGCCACCGGGTCCTGTGATTGTGCATTGTTCGGCGGGAATCGGACGTACGGGAACGATCCTTGAAATTGAAACCATCATCTCGCGGCTCTTCAAAGGAATACAAACTTCGGTGATATCTTTTCAATAATAATTCAACAATTTTTCATTTTAGGCTAAAGATGTGTTCATCGAATTGCGCAATTCCCGTGCTTCGTGTATCCAAACCCAAGCACAATACCTGTTCATCTACACCACGGTTTTGGACTACATCAAGGTGAAATCATGTTGACTATAGTTGAATTGGTTTTGCTTAGGCAAAAGTCCCAAGCAAGTACGCCAGTATGGTGACCAAATTCTATCAAGACCTGGAGAAGCTATGATTACAAAAAGGACAAGGAATTCACTAGAATATTCAGATTTTTGATTTGTGATTGAATTAATAAATTGTATTATGACCTTTTTGAAAATACACGAATGACAATGGAAAGTTACTGCTTCCCTTTAAAAGAAAACTCAAGATGAAACAACCCAATCAGGTCAGAAAGTTGTTCATCTAGTGTACTTCGCAAGTACATAGTTGCCAATCACTAATCACGTTTTTAAGAAAATACACAATTTATCGCATACAAATTTTCAAACTTTAGCTCAGAAAAAGAAACAAACACAGAATGCACATAGAATATGGACATTACCACACCTTGTAAAAGTTAAAATTGAAGCTAAGCCAAAGCGATGTACATTAAAATTGATTAGTTTTCACATTAAAATCGAAGCCACGAGAGAAGAGATGAACGGCGCTTCTTTGAGGCTTCGACTCGTTTGACTGATTGTATCTGGACCTGTTCTCGTTGCTCCTCGATCTTCCAGCTGGCAACTTGGTCGAGTTTGTTGTCGAGGTAGTCGTCATGCTGAGCATCTCTTTGAAAAGACTAAAATAATAAATGCAGTTACGAATGAAAAGTAACAAACTTGACTGGACGAAGGAGTGAGCATGCCAAGTGATTGGACAGCTTCGGGCGAAAGCCTAGGAAAATATAATTTTTTACCAAAATAAAAAAAGCACTTACGAAAACGAATCATTTAAAGATGTAAGGGACGTGGTCAAGCCTATTCGATAGGGGCGCGAATCATCTGAGGAGTCCAAGACCAATCTCCCATCCACTTCTTCAAGCTGGTTCTTCTTTAGTCGACAGAGTTGCTCGTGTGCATAGTTGACTTGCTCTTGGCGATCAAGCTAAAACAGTTTCGGATGAAAAATGTGAACCAAAAACTCACTTTTTTGGATAAGTGCCGAAGAACAGCTAAACAATAAGCCGCTTTAGAGTAGCTTAACTGGGTTGAGTACATTTCTGCCATAAGCCGATACGCCTAAAACGAAAACTGAATAAATTCGAACAGCTCTTTCCCTGAAATGTGATCTTTTGGTTAAAAAAGCCAGTTTTGTGGGAATACTCCGAGGACGGCTGGTGTATACAATACAAAGACACCGGCTTGTTATACCACTTTGGGCGCGCATTGAAGAAGCACAAGTTCGAACAATCAAACGCTGGCCCAATAAACGATGTGGCACGTGGACATCGATGGTAGGAATCATTTTACGGCAACATCTACACACAAAGAAATGACCTCTAGGCTTTGGAGGAAACGCCCGTTTTTAAAATTTTAAAAAAATTAAAAAAACCACAAAGCTGACTTTTTTTGGCCAAAAGACCACCCGGGAAAGAGCCATTCAAACATTACAATAAAAGACCTGTGCTTCAGCCCCTAGATCGTTCGCTTGTCGTGAAACGTCGATTGCCTTCAGTGCGTACATGGTTGCTAAATTTAGTCTTATTCAACCAAATAAATAGATGTTTACCATCTTACCATCTTCCCAATCAACTTCTTCGACCTTCAATTCGCCAAGTGAGATGTACTGCATGGCCATGGATCTTCGATCATCTAATTCACAAGCAATCGCCAGAGCCAATCGATAATACCTAAGGAAATAACATGGAAATTTTTAAAACTGCATTAAACTTGGTGGCTTCATCGTTTCTTCCGATTTTTCGATTGAGGTTTCCCAAGGCAGAATAAGTTCTTCTCATCGCGCATCGATCTTTCTCTCCTTCGGCAATTCGAAACCTCTAAAGTAAACAAATACTTTGTGATTTCAACAGTTTCAAACCTTCATGTAAAGTTCATTGGCTTTGTTGTAGATTCCTTGTTCGTAGTAAGCATTTGCCAAGTCGCCGGTCAGAAAGCCAATCTCATCGTTGAACAAATTGGCACGAGCGATGTCAGAGGCATTTTGATAGCTGGTGACGGCTTCGGAAAACGAGCTGTTGATAAGCAACATTTTTTCTACCGTGTCCTAAAACCTAATGGTTGCAAGCTCATAAACACAAATAACAGTCACATAAAAAATCTCACTTTAAGCGTTGCAAGTTGCAAGCGGAGATGACGCCCGCGAAGCATGTAGTATTCTCCCAATCGTCTCCAGCTCTTGCACAGTAGACTCTAAAATCACAAATTAAAGCAGATAGGAAAAAGTTTACCTGGTTGTTCGACTTCTGTGCAAGTTTTGTAGCTTCTTGGTAAAGTTCTTCTAGCTCCTCAGAGTTTGGCTTGATTCGTTCGATGAGACGACATAGGTCAAAGATGGTCACAATCTCGGCTTCTTCATCCTTCTTAGCGCGATGCAAGTGCTTCTCTCGTTGAAGGGCTTCTATGGCTTTTTCTAGCATTTGTATTTCTTCGGCTCGGCCAGCAAAGCATCTTGTTTTACTCTCGTATGTAGCCGCGGTCTAAACATTAAAAAGGTTAGAAACCCCAAACATTCTCACCAGATTGTAAATCTTTTGGAGCAGATCAAAGTCATTGGTCCCGCGGGCGGCTTCGGTTGCTTCGTGAAGAAAGTTGAGTGTCTCCTCGCAATTTCCTTCGTTGTATTTGTTGAGTGCCTCGAGGTAGAGCGCGATGGCCTCGTTTTGTTCGCCCATTCCTAAAACTAACTTATAAGCCCTTTAAAAATCAGGTCAAAAAGTAAAACGAAGTGTTGTCAAAAGTTGTAGTTGCTGTTTAACCTAGCGTTGTACTGGTTCTAGATGCCATTGCCATTTTCACTGCAATCCACAAGTCAACAAAACTGGGAAAGAATTGATAGCTGACCAAAAAGGGGCGGGACTGATCGTGCCATCGGCAACCTTCCAGGCATCCCAACCGAAGACCCACTTTTCCCGCTTATAAATAGCCGGGCCTTTTTGCTTGCTTCATCTCATCCGTGAGCAACAAGCAACTAGCAATGTCGGGACGTGGAAAAGGAGGCAAAGGACTCGGCAAGGGAGGAGCGAAGCGTCATCGCAAAGTGCTTCGCGACAACATCCAAGGAATCACCAAGCCAGCGATCCGCCGGCTCGCTCGTCGTGGTGGTGTGAAGCGCATTTCTGGACTCATCTACGAGGAAACTCGTGGCGTCCTGAAAGTGTTCTTGGAGAACGTGATCCGTGATGCTGTCACCTACTGCGAGCACGCCAAGCGAAAGACCGTCACCGCAATGGATGTCGTCTACGCCCTGAAACGCCAAGGCCGCACCCTCTACGGATTCGGTGGATGATTCCTTTAAACGATGAGAACAAGTAAAACCCCAACCCAACGGCCCTCTTTAGGGCCACAAATGATCTTGTTAAAATATTCTCTTCAATGTTAGAATAATGTTCTAACGGACTCGAGGTCTGATCTCTTTCTAAACGAAAACTGGGAATTGTGCTTTGTTCAATCCATGGAATCAAAGCCTGTTGAAAGTTCGGGACTATAACAATACCGCATCGCCATTTGCGCACACGTGGAAAAACGTCTTTTGCGCAGAACAGGCTCCGCCCACTAACTTCAAGCGCTAAAAGTTGCACCAAATGGCCTACATTGTTTCGATTGAGCCCAAATTTTTACAGCATGTTGCGCTCGCCTATGCCCATCTACTGGATAAATTTCAGCTTGATAGTTTCACTACAAAAAATAGGAAGCCATTGTTTGCTTTGTGCGCAAAAGACCTCTTTTTGCGTCTTTTGCCCACAAAAAATTCAATTCATTCCAAAATTTTTTGCGCACACAGACTCTGCCCGTGTGCACAAAAGACGTTTTTTCACGTCTGCGCAAACGGAAAACGCAAACGCAACAAACGGATTAGAATAGAAGTTTTTTTTCGGGACTATAACAATACAGTTATAGTCCCGAAAGTTTTATCACCTTGGAAGAATTGGTCGGTTTCATCGGTTCTGATAAGGTTAAGTTCACCATGTACAACGCAATATTAAAATTTCTCTACTCAAGCTAATGGTAAGTTCCGTTCTTGCAAAAGCGTACAGTTGAGCCGTTTTATCGGCTGAATGAAGGCAAGTCTGCTATGTATGCAATGAGGTTTTTATGGCATTCCACAATTCATAAAAATTATCAAAAGTACGTCAAAAAAACCATTCACTAGTTTTATTCACAACGTTTAGCGAGAAAGGGAAAACTTCAAAACATCAAAACACGTTTTATAATCTTTCACAAGTTCGTTGGTCGGTCAGAGAGTGGATGATGGTGAGGACGATCGGCATGACGATTGAAACCGGGGCAATCACTGAAATGCAAAGATTATGATGAGCAAATTTTATCTAAAATAAACGGTTTACCAGCTTATCGCTACTTAGCCAATGCCTTTTATTTGGCTACTACCAACAAATAGGTAGGCATTTAAAGCGAAAACAAACTCATACACCCCAAAGAACCAAAATCGCCGAAATACACGATGAGCACCCAGAAAGTGATTTCGCATGCTCTAAACAATTCATGAGTTTTAATAAAAAGTGTGTCACAAAAATCAATTGATAAAATGCCTCACTTAGTCCATTGGAGTGCCGCAATAACTGGATTGGATAAATTGGTTGGTGAATTGGGGCTCGCACTCGCTTTGCTTCGACCATGTTTCGACTAAACGAGAAATGAATTGTCAATCCAGGCAGTTTAATTTAATGAATGTTAAAAAACCCACACCGATGGCTTCTTTGGCTTGATGTTGCTATTTCGTGGTGGAGCAGAGTTAAGCGACAAGCCCATGCCACATCATTCCTAAACAAAGAATGTAATTCATTTTAAAAACACCAACTAACTCTTTAAATAAGATTTTAAGTTACAAATACAACTCTGACTTCTAGAAACTTTAACAGCTAAAAAAGTTACCTCAACATCCTTGTTTTCTATCTTTTTTTGTAAGAAAACAAATAAACTAACGCTGGTGGTGGTGGTGGGGGTGAAGGAAGAGGCGGCTCGGCGTTGGGTGCAGTGGTGGTGATTGCTCTACGAACTCGTGTCTCCTAAACTACGCTCGTGTCTCCTAAACAAAAGAATGTAAATCGTTCTAGAAAGATTGTATTGCAGTTTGAAACTAAAAAATTTCAATGCTGTTTACACCACAAAAAGATGCATGCTCCTTCAAGATATCAACAAACGTATTGACGACTTTCCTACGTCGTGACCAATTCAAAATGAAGCTGATTCTAAGAAGTCTAGTCACCTTAGAACGACATGAACTCGAAATAGATAACAATCGAACAAGCAGATAACAATTTTATGTTGATAAAGAAGATGCAAACGTTTTAAATTAAATTAGTTACCGATTATTAGAAGAGCAGATGTAAAAACTTACAATTCGGAAGAAATCTCAAAGAACGGGCGATTGTCGAACAAAATACAGGGTGCGGCAAAAGTTCGGAGCCGCTATGAAAACATTGCAGAAAATTTAGCTCGCGCTTTTTTTTTGTGTCTCGTATACTTTTTTCCCCTTTTTCGAGTATAATTAAGGTGATTTGTTACAAAAATTTTCTTTTTAGGAGAAAATTCGTAAGAATGAACGCCAAAAAACGACGCGATATGATTCTCGGATTATACGAAGGCGGAAAAAATAGCCCGGAGCTTGTAAAAATCACGAAATATCCAAAAAGCACCGTCAACAAAGCAATTAAACGCTACAAGGAGATAAAGAACAACAAGAACAACAACTCGAAGTGGTCGACCACCAACTGCCGTAACACCTACGAACATCAACGAACTCCGCCAAAACAAGCTGCGGTCGATGCGAAAGATGGGCAAACAGCTGAAAATTAGCCCTCGAAGCGTTGGAAGGATTGTTAAAGGGAAACCAAGATTCTTTAGCTACAAATTGGCTAAAGCACACGTCTTGAGCGACAAATCCCAGAAGAAACGAAAGCTTCTAGCAAAGAAGATGGTGCGCTTGGTGTCGACTGGCCTACTTGAGAGAATCCTCTTCACAGATGAAAAGATTTTTTCTATCCAGTCATTGCACAACCGCCAAAATCATAGATAACTTCTCAAAAGGGGTCTGAAGAACACATTTGCGGCAAATTTGATGGTTAGAAAGCATTTTTCAGCTTCGATTATGATGTGTGGAGGTATGTGTGCTACAAGCAAGACACCGCCTGTTTTTTGGACAGAAAAGTCAAGATGAATGCTAGAAACTGCCAACAACTGGTATTAAAAGATGTCTTGAAACATTGGGCAACAAATCACTTTGGACAAGCTGGTTTTTAGACTGGGCTCCGGTGCATGGTGCTCACTCAACTCTCAACGTTTGCGCTCAGTTGTTTCCAGGCTTTTGGGGTAAGACCATTTGGCCTTCAAATTCGCCAGATCTTAATCCCCTCGATTACACCGTTTGGGCTATTTTGGAAGGCAAGATCTTGATGAAGACGTATCAAACAGTGGATGCTTTAAAATCTGCTCTGAAACGAGTCTGGGATGAAATAACTGTTTAAGCGTGCGCCACCATCGTGAGGAACTTCCCAAAGCGTTTAAAGAGGTGTATCGAAGCGGATGGTGGAAATTTCGAGCATTTGTTATAAGTTATTTGTTGTTATGATTCGAATAAAGAGTTCGTTATTAATTTTTAACCTTTTAAAGCTAGTTTTTAAACCTTTAACTATCTTAAGAAGCGGCTCCGAACTTTTGCCGCACCCTGTAGATGAAGGATGCGCCGCATTTCGAAAGATTTCGGGTCTAAAAATAAAAAATATTTACGAGTTTAAATTGTAAAAGAAGTAGAAATGAAAGGACTTTTTAACGGAGCCGTAATTCAGAAGACAACTTGAAGCGAAGTTCAGTCAAATTTCCGAACTTTTAATTTAACTTCACCAGTTTTAAAATTTTAAAGAAATCATTTGTGGCCCTAAAGAGGGCCGTTGGGTTGGGGGTTTTGTTGAAAGCTCGACTAGGAGCGTTTACTCATCTTTTTCACCGCTGGTTTTCTTGGGAAGAAGAACGGCTTGGATGCTGGGCAGGACGCCTCCCTGAGAGATGGTGACTCCTGACAGGAGTTTGTTCAGCTCTTCATCGTTGCGGACGGCCAATTGGAGATGACGGGGGTTGATCCTCGACTTCTTGTTGTCTCGGGCAGCGTTTCCGGCCAACTCCAGCACTTCGGCCGTGAGGTATTCGAGCACAGCAGCCAGATAGACTGGTGCTCCCGCGCCGATACGTTGAGCGTAGTTCCCTTTGCGGAGGATGCGATGGAGGCGTCCGACCGGAAATTCAAGGCCAGCGCGAGTCGAACGAGCCGATCCTTTGGTCTTCTTGGCTTTCCCTGCTTTTGCCGACATTCTTACTTGATTGTTCACGATAAGCTATGGATATGGTAAATAGAAAAGGAAACCTTTATATAGTCCTTGGGGTGAGGGGGCGGGGCTTGCCGTTGGCAGTCTTCTTAGCCCCGCCTCCACACCCCAGATCCCATATAAACCCCCCAGGCAAGGAAAAGCTCACCTTGTGTTCGACAACGCAAACTCAGCAATGCCACCGAAGCCATCCACGACCGTCCACGCAATGAAAGCAGCGAAATCGCCGAAGATCGCCGCTAAGGGGGATAAGAAACGCAAGAAGTCGAGAAAGGAATCCTTCTCGGTCTACATCTACCGGATCCTCAAGCAAGTCCACCCGGACACCGGCGTCTCCTCGAAAGCCATGTCAATCATGTGCTCCTTCGTTAACGACGTCTTCGAACGAATTGCTGCTGAGGCTTCACGTCTTTCCCACTACAACAAACGATCCACGATCTCGTCTCGTGAAATCCAGACGGCGGTCCGATTGATCCTCCCAGGAGAGCTCGCCAAGCATGCCGTCTCTGAAGGCACCAAAGCTGTCACCAAGTACACATCATCTCAGTAGATCTTCGGATCGAAAGGAGAAAACAAAACCCTAACCCAACGGCCCTCTTTAGGGCCACAAATGAGTCTTTGTGAAATTTTTAGAGTCTTACTGTCACAACCGACCTTTAACGCTCCTGTGGTCTAATCGGTTGACGCCTCTTGTTTCTTGGATCGTTTACCGGCACATTTCTCCAAATGTCGACCATAAACTACACGCCTTTGAATAATAATTTTGAAGGGAAACATTCGAAAAGTTGGAAAGATATTTTAGAAAAAGTAAAAGGAGAAAATTAAATTTTGAATTCAATTCAATGTGTGGGCTACAAGATTTTGAAAGTTGTTCAAATTTGAACTTGACTTATGAATTACAGGATTCGGCTCAAATGTTCCGGTTTCTGAAATTTACGCGGGCAATATAAAGTTTACAACTGATTTCTCATCATTGATTTTCATATTGTATTGGAACATCACTCTTTCAATCAAATACGCGCAGCATGCTCAATCAAACTGCACTAAGCTTTCCCTCCTATTTTTACGTGAATTTTACGCACTTGCATTTCCTCAAATCTAAAGTTTCTTTGGTCTTTGTGTGGTGTGCTTTGATGCGGGTTCACTATCATTTAGTTTGCACGGTGCATTTTCACAAATGTCCCTCGTTAAATGTCTCTTTAGGTGAGGCGCTTTGGTGAGAGTACATGCCCCGCAAAAGTACGTTTTTACTTCAAATCTTGGAGAGGAAATTCCCCTAGAGATTTTCAAAAAGCCCTTCTCCTCTAACCTCTCAATTGTTACTTTATTTATTTGATTCCTTTGATTACAAACTTTCTCTTTTTTCACCAATGCCTTAATTTAGTTTGAAATGTGGATCTCGGCAAGAGAGCTAGCCGACTACGTTCAAGACTTTCAAAGTTTCGATGATCCGGAAGCCGTCAAGAATCTCGTTTCTCTCCTGAACAAATATCAATCCAAGCTGCAAAATATCACGAAAAATACGGCAAGTTTTTTTCCTATTGCTAATCCTTACGAACTTACTTCTTTAGGGATTCGAGAAAGTTCAAACCACAAATGGAGTCATAGAAATTGGAGTTCACAATCAAAAAGTCGAGCTGAATCCAAAGATTTGTGAAGAGGCAGCGATTTTGGCCAAACTCTTCTCGATGCCGGAGAGTGAAGCGATCGAACTTGTGTTAACCGCGGATCTACAAGTGCATAACTTCGAAGGACTCCCCAGAGGACTGACAGCCGTCGTTTGTTATTATGATGCGCACCGCTTATTCGGATCAACTTTAAAAAGGTTAACCATTGCGAATGGCTTTCATATAAAGATATTTTCTTTTAGAATACTAAGTTGGGACAGAGAAGTCTTACCGTCAAAACTTTTGGGATTTATCATGGAAAACCTGGTGAAACCAAATATCATGCAGAACTTGATTGGTACATTACTGCCATTTAATTGATTTCATTCGCTTATTTTTAGAAGTACAACGTTCCTTTACAATTACATCGGAATTTCACTTGCTCGTCAGAGAAGAGGTTAACGGTCTTGGTGGAGCATATCATCGATCATTGGTATATTTTTTGAACAACTAAATCTTTAGAGTTTTTTTTAGTTACGGGCGTCGATCGAGGATATTCGCTTGTTGTGTGCTGAATGCGCTTATGAAATTTGTCGATGGGCTGTTGGGAAGCAACAATTCCTTGGCTATATCTTCCAAGTTCTAAAGGTTTAAAGAAATGCTTTGCTAATTTCAAATTGGTTAATGTTTTACAGGAAATTCCGGGAAAGGGAGAAAAGCTGCAAGCATATCAAATCATAACCTGGACTTGTTTTTCAATTATGCTGAGCAATCAATGCTTACTTCAATGTAGGAGTTATTTTTGTGTATAATTATTTGGTATTTTTAGCCAACGACGAGACAGCTATTTTAACACAATGCAACCGAGAGGTCAGGAAACTTTCTCTTACAGAAGTTCATGTGTTTATTTTCAGATTTCAAACGAGGCTATCTGGAAAGATATTGTAACTTATGGATCAGTATGCCTGATCGTTGCCATTGCGATCAAGAACTTATCACTCAGTCCAGCTGATCATAGCGGTATTCTTTATTCAAATACTTGCTTACCTTGTTAGTGTTACAGCTATCTCGGAACTCGCAAGCGATCTACCGGAAAGGTTGATAGAAAGGGCCGTTCATTTTCAATGTTTTCACTATATTTCTCGATGTATTCTTGCTTACGAGGATTTCAAAGCCGTCGATTCCCAAGTAATTTCTTTTTTTCAGTGGAAATCTTTTATTTTGAAGGTGCAAGCCGTGGACGATCTACTGAAAGAATTTTGTACGCTTTTCCCTTCAAAGATGACAGAACTTATGAGGCACGGGGTCGATGAAATGCATATCATTGATGAAATCCGTTCGAATAAAGGTCGAAATTTGATAAAATTCATCTTCATCCAACTTTTATTTAGGTGTGGTTTCAATCACGCCGCAAAAAGAGCATTTTTGCACTTTACTTCATGCCTTTTCTGAGGTAACAAATATGTTCTTTGCATCTAAGGTGTACTGCTTTCCAGCTTTATCGATCTGACCCCCGATTGGACACTTTGCATCCATCAATAAAGACGACTTTGGACCAACTCAGCGAAGATTTTACACCCGACAAAAATGTTTGTTTTTAACGAAGAAATTCTAACACGTTTGATTTAGTTACAACTTTGTCATTCATTCCTTGCTCTCTCGCAGCTTGACGATCATTACCGGCAAACAGTTACCTTCCTGCAGGTATGATTGTTTTAGCTTAAGAAAAGAATCAGTTTTTAGACTCTTTGCGACATTTCTCGAAACCCCGTGACGGCGTCTTATATTTTCAACATGTTTTTAAAGACACCTTTAAATATTGATTATGGTAGGTGAACAATAATTTAAAGGCTCAACTGGCCTATTTAGATCATTGCAACCTTTGGGCTCGATTTGTCAATGCTCTTCGCAAATACGAGGTGTACTTTCGTGAAGCCTCGCAAACTTCGTATAAACCAATGTCTAGTTTTACAACGGAAAAAGTTTGATATGCAATTATTGATTGGAGAATCCTAAAATTTTAGACTTCTGGTACTATCAGTAAAGAGGAACTCGCTGGAATGCTTGTTTGGTGCCGTTTAGTTGAGACGATAACGAAAATGGTATCGAATTTATAATAACGCGAAAATGATAGAGCTATTTAGGACGATAATGCCTGTCAAGTGTTCGGCCACGATCGCAATTGGCAATTTATTGAGACGGCTACTTCACTCATCTCGCGAGCGATTCCAGTCGCCATGAAAGGTGTGTTTTGGTTAATGGTCTGGTATTGTTACTTATCTTTTATTTAGGAGCTCTTTTGCGCTTATTGGCCTCGCTTGCAAGACTTCCCTCGTGTGCTGAATACATCTGGATTACCTTGAATGCTAGTGGAATTTGTGCGTATGGAGAAAATGGTCGCCTCATTGGACTTGTAGTCGGTTTTAAACGCAAGCATTCTGGCAAATGATTATTTTGTTAATAATTTTTATTTTAGAAAGAATTGGAGGAACGTGAATGTACAAGTTGTTTGTATGAATGCAGTTTGGGAATGATGCATTTACTTCGCGCTCTCTTTGCTCATTCGAACATTCCGATCACGGTTTGTTTGTCGGTGATGGTTTAGGTAGTATGAACACTTTAGGCTAGACCTTATTTGGAATACGCAACCACCTGTGTTCTTTGGCCGTTGAGCACTAGAAGCTACAAATCGATCACTCAAATGGTGACCTTACCCGTAATAAAATTACTTATTCAAAAAATTTAGTGGGAATTGTGCGAAACCGCGATGGACGCTTTGTATTCCTTGCTCTCAAATAACCATTTTGATGCAAGATCCTTGGAAGTTCGAGAACCAGCTGCAGTTATTCTCTTGCAAATATTGAATCGCGAGGCGCCACTATTCAGAACGGTATTGATTGAGTCCTTGATATATTAACTTTTTTTAGATCTGTTGGGTGTTATTGGAAGACTCGGCATCAGCTTTTCTGCCCTATCGATTGTCAAGAAGTGCTGCTCTTTCTGCATTGAAGTTGTTGTATGAATGCATATCTAAACTTGAAATCTTGAGGTATGTATCATGTTTTCCTCAATTGGTTTAATTCATTTTAGAGTTGCATTGCGAACAACGGAAAACAACTCGGTTGTTTCATCAATGAGTGTCCTACTTCTTTCGCCACTGCACCAGGATCCCACCAAAAATCTTTTATCGATTGTGATAAACTATATTTCAAATGTTGGTTATCTCAGTTCTTTCAATTTATCGGTTTCTTTAGCTTGCTGCTCATCCGATGCACGCATTGATGAGTGTTTATCTTCTACGTGAACTTTGTTCAACTCGACCATCGCTTCAACAAAATATTGTTTCATTGTTGACGACTGATCCAGAAGTACAAAGCATACATTTTTGGTTTACTCAATTTTAGACACAAAAACGCCTCGTTCGAGCCGCATACATGGTTCTTGATCCAGACACGATGAGCTACACAATTGACAATGTGTATTTGAGAGGTGAAAACATTAGAAATGTTTTTGCAAATTGTACTTTAGACACGAAAGAATTCTTTGATAATTCTTACTACATTCGCGGAGAAACGGCTCGAGTTTTCCTTGAGGTTTTGTTTACGCTTATTCATACTAGTTGTTCTTTTTAGGTATTAGCCGACTCTATTGAAATTGATCCCAGTGTTTCGAACTTGGGTTTCTTGTTTCTGGGCCTAGAGCTATCAAACGACAATGGTTTATTATACAACGATGGTTAGATTACTTTTTAAATTTTGAAGATCAACCTTCTTTTTTAGCTAGTCAAAGAACAGCGTTGCACCGGTTACTCTCATTTATCAGTCTCTTCTGTTCTACGGATGATCCACTTTCACTTCGTATCTCTGCCGTTTTTCAGCCCCTGTTTCGTGTTCTGGTATTTTGTTATACTTTTTTTAAAGAAAACTCTACTTTTAGCGTGGTCTTGTTTCGGTTAAATCGGGCATCTCACCGGCTGTCTTGCGATTTTTGCGTACTTACGATGTTGTTTATTCTCTTGCGACAAGTCCGTTTTTGGGACTACATGCTGCGTCGTTAAAGGTTAATATATTCAATGTTCACATGATATGATTCGTTAGGATGATTCCACTTCAACTCGAGCCGCTATCTCCGATTTGATTGCGGGAGACATTTTGCATTTGATCGCATTAGAGTTTTCGTCTTTGATGTTGCACGGTAGCTAGCATCAATGTTCATCTTTTAAAACAAATTCGTTTAGGTTATTACTCTGACCCACAACGACTTTTGCGAGTCTTGCTTGAAAATGTGCGAGGTGGTGCCGAAGTTGAAATTAACGAAACTGCGTGGACAAGGCTTCCAGAAGAAAAGTGAGTTATACTTGGTCCAAATTCGTGATGAATTTGTGCTTTTAGAAATGTGTTGTTTGCCGTATTATCGGGTGCCAGTCAGGAATTGCCAGTGGAAATTCAACCACCAATTAATCTCGCCTACTTTGACTCAGCGAAGCTTGGAGGAGTAAGGAAATATTTTGATGCCCATCAATTTGTCAAATTTAGATATTGGAGACGTGCATCAGAGGCTCGGTATGGGGAACTCCGGTTTACGATGTCGAATATCTACACTTCTTACTTCGACGCGAAATACAAGCATTGTCTCTTGAGGATCCAGCGGCTCCAAAACAAGTAACAAAAATGCACACATTTATCTAGTAACTTTATATTCTAAGGAAATGGAACGTATCTTGAGTTGGACGACAACTGCCAACTCCTATGAGCTATTGTCAAATGCCCATTCGTCGCTTATTTCTGGCTGCTCTGCTTTTTTGAATGTTTTATGTATATTTTCGCCACTTCCTTTTTTCACAAACAGTAAGTTTTTAGTTTATTGGAAGATTAAATGTGAATATTTTAGCTGCCCAGATCAATGTCCTTCGCGATAGTTTGTACGAGTTAGTTGCTGTCGGCTCAACCCATGATGGTGAGCTTGGTGACGAAATAGCAGCATCTATCACAAGAGTTTGCAAAGTATGGATAAGCTTCAGGATTTTTTAAGAAAAGATTTACTTTAGGCGCTTTGCAAATTGGTGAACGAAGAAAAATTGGAAAAATCTCAAAAGAGGGAGCTCATTGAAATGTTGATATCGCCAGTCCTTGAATTACTCGTCCAACCAGGAATGAAAACACTTCAGTCAAAGGTTGCGTTTCAGTTTATTCAGCTTTTTTGGGTTTTTTTTGCGTTTTATCGAGTGGATCTCCTGCAGATCGTATGCCACTAAAGACTTATTTTCTCTAGATGTCACTTTACTTGGCAACCTACACGCTTGTTTCCACATGCTATTCTCCGCCTGTTAGTGAAACTACAAAAGAAGCGGTATCCAGTGAAAATTAAATTATTTTTATAATACGATTTCAGAGTGTACCATTCGGAGACACGACTTGGCTCTTTGAACCTCTCGCAGCGACTGTGGAGGACCCGATTCGGTTAGTTTTCACCGAAAGAAATATTCATCGTTGTTCTTTTAGACTGCGCATCGATAGCTTAACCCAAGAACTTTCAACGAGCATGCTAAGTGATATCTCTGATTTGCCAAACGAGTTAAAGGTGAGTGCTTTTGTAAATTTGGCATACCGGATCCTTTTTTAGTCCGCTCCTCTAACTTTGTTGGCTGCATTGGTTTGGGAAGACACGCTAGGCTCTCGTCGTACTTCTGGTCTTTTGGTTCAACACGGTTTGATAAGGTAAAATTGTTTACCGGCTAAAATGCGTGATCTTTCTAATTTAGAATCTTGTTAAATCAGCTATCACAAATTTCGCTCGACTTTGCGAAGCTCGTAGTTAACAATGGCAAAGCACAACTAAACTACAAGTTGTTCCGTAGTATCATGGTCAGTATTCGTAGAAGAACTCGTCCTTTTGAATCTTTTTGTTTCAGAGTGTCTTCACTAGACTTTGTTTTGTTGAAGTTGGTTGGACGGCGATCACCGAGGCGGGAGTAATTCAGGTACTTTTCTAAACTCATCCTTAATGTGTACAAGTTAACGAAAATTTTTTGAGGTTTTGAAACAACTGCCTTATCTGATGCAACCACCGAAAGAAGTGTTCTTGCAGCCAGCCTCCCTCCAAAAGTATTAGCAAAAAAGCAATTTTGACTATACTTGATTCAGTGTACAATCTACCAGTTGGTACTATGGAGAAGCCCTGACTTCTGTGATGTACTTTATCTCGGCCATTTTTTCACATTCACATTGGAAAAAGACTTCCAAAAATGTGAGTTGTTTATAGATAATTAATGATAACTAGGTATTGCTAAAGGAATCAATAAATAACCAAAGTTTAGGTAATCGAGTTCATTTCAATTCACGCAGAAGTCTTCTGTCAATTGTGTCGTGCCGAATTGAAGTTTCCTCCATTGGAGCTTGCCAGCAGCTTGCTGAATTTTATACATGAAAATGGTGAGCTGGACATTAAGTAAACTTGTGAGCATGATTTTTAGATGATATCACGGTCAAGGACGTAATCCAAGGTTCGCCTTCGTTGAGAATGATACTTGGAAGATCAAAAGAGAAGTCAGAAAATTTGGGAACAAACAATGTTGGATGGATTCACAAAAACTAGGGTTTTCAAATAATTAGTGTTTTTTGTAATGTGATCTCATCTTATAAAGTTGTTATTTTTGTTTAGAAATTTTATGATTACCGGTGTAATTTATTGTTGACTGTTTCTGGTGTCGTTTATACAAAGGATCAAATGGGATAAAGATTTTTACATGCTTTGAAACAAACATGGCAACATGAGACAGGTATGGAGGAAACGGGTTACTGTAGTTTCTTTCGAACTTTTTGATTTAGACCGGGAGCTATTAGATTTTTGTAGTGTAGATTGTGGATCTTCAAAACAATTTATTGGTTATGGATCGCGTCAAGCCACCAGAAAAGTGCACGAGACCGATATCGGGCACACAAAAAAAGAATAGGCCCCAAAAAAGCACATCAATTAACCTTTTATTCTTTTGGCATTTGCTTCGGTTTCTGGAGGGCGCTGTCGTGTTCGGCATCTAACTTGGCTTGCTTTCCGTATTTTCTTTCTTCTTCCATGATTTCTTTTCGTTTATTGATTACCGCAATCAGTTCTTCCATTGTTGGCTTAAAGAAAGCAAAGATTTAGGATTTACAAAAACAAAACTTACGAAAGGCATGTCCACGTGATTTTGAGGACGATTTCGGTATAGTGGCACTGACTCGTAGTCGGTTCCTTTGTATGCCTTATCCTAAATCAATAAAAGTTGTATCAAAAAGCAAGCTTAAACATACCTGAACCATGGCAACTGCAAGACGGGCCAACAGACGAATATCGGGATGGTTAATTGAAGCATCGGCGGGCACGGCGATCTAAAAAGAAAATATAGTTGAAGGGAAAGTAAAAGTTTAAAAGTTAAAGACTTAAAAGTTGCCCACCTTTGCTTGGACGCTTTCTACATCTTTCGCATTATACTGCTGGTGATCTGGATTGATATCGCCGAAACCCTTGGGGAGTCGTTGAGCAGGAGGTTTGGGGAACATCCTTTGGAGGATCGTCTCGACCTTTGGAGGACCTTTGGAGGATCTGTGGGACGGCCTCCACCGATAGACTAAAGCAACAATTTAAATATTCAATCTATAAATGTACGTAAAAATTAATGATGACAAAAAAATAAGTGATCTATCGATATCAATCCAGATCTAGTAATCAAATGAACCAAATCTAATAATAAGAATCAAAAAAAAACAACAAACAAAATCATTTACACGAGCAGAAGCAGAGCTGGAAGAAGAGTGAAGGGCAAGGATTTCATCGCAGCCGATTCGCGATTTGTAGATGAGAGCCGAGTGTCAAATGTCGAAGAATGATCGACCTGACGTTTCGAGTTTGCTTCAAATGATGGATCAATGGAAATTCAGCGAGATCATATGCTAATTTTTCAAGCTAGTAGGGAACTCTTCTTTTGGCTTGGGCTGATGAGTTACGAGGTATTTTTGGTGTTCAGCCGCTGGACTTTTGTCTGTTTTGTGTTCAAATCTGGAATCAAGGCTTAAAATGCATTGAAAACTCTAGATCTGCAACAATTCAGACAGTTTTTTCTCTGAGAAAGCGTCAAGGATTAGATGTTTTTCCTTTTCAGAGATGCAGAAAAAAAAGCTTTCTGTCTAAATAATGCCATTTCGGGAGGAAAAACTCGATGTGAAGGACTGAAAAATTTTCTTTTTCTTTTGCACTTATTTTATGTGGTTCGTTTCGCTTTGTGATGCTTTTATGTGACTCTGCATTTTCTAGATTTAGGATTTCAGTTCTACAAAGCATTTACCGCATTTACCGCATTTACCGATTTCAGTTCTACAACAGCATTACCGTAGAGTCGAGTTGGTGACGATTTTACGATTTTCAAGTTTTCACAGAAGCTCAACACCTATTACCGTATTTTCTCTAATAGTAGTGCACCCCGGCGAGCCGAGTTGGTGACTATTTGACGGTTTCCAAGCTTTTGCAGAAGCTCAACACTCGAATCCCCCACAAGATCTCATCGTCAGCTACATTTTCCGACCCCACATCGATAGGTTCTGATAAGCGCTTTTCGAGATTTCGAGGAATTTAGGCGACGCTCAGCAACAAAGCATTTTCAAAACCATTTCTTCTTTGTTATTGTTCTTTTTTTTCGGATCCGAATTTCCTTGAAAATCTCAACAAATCAATGATCACTCATGGTGATGAAGATGGAGATGAAGATGGAGATAAAGGTGTGAGGCAAAAGCGAGTCATATGATGATGGCGATTGGAATGGCAATTACAGACAGAGAGAAGAGACCCATCGGGAGTTTTCGAAGAGAAGACGCCGCAGAGATTGAGAGGAATTGGGGAGATTTGGATGATTGAGGGGGAAGGGGGGAGTGATTGTTATCTCTCCTCCCCTCAGGCCATCCCCTTTCCCTAAATCCGCCTCAATTCCCCAGTCTATCACATTGTTCTTCTCGATAAATCTCATTTCCAGAAAATTCTTTCGATTTTCATTATCCTAACTTTGTTTGAAAGAAAATTTGTAAAATTTTTTTGCAAAGAAAAACTCCTTCTCGTTTCCTTTACTTCTGTACTTTGAGCTGGAAAAACCTTGTAAACGCACGTCCTCTGGCGCCAAAAAGTCAGAAAATTTGCGTTTGCATTCTTGATCTCAACGTGCATCACTCAATCGAAAAGCTTTTTATTCATTCAAATATTTCAGCAGTTCTTTGACTTCAAAATGAAATTGTGGTTGGTTGCCCTGTTTGCCGCTCTTCTCGTTGTCGTCGTTTTGGCTGATGAGGTGAGATGAATGTCTTCAAGGGATTACGGTAGTCTTAAGTACACATCGATCTCATAAACACGTCTAGATCTTCAAAATAACAAAAAAAAAATTCTATTTGATACTAAATTTCTAATAATAAACATAATGAACATTGGATTAATTCTACATATTTTCACTCAATCATCAAAGTTACAATATTTGATTCAATCATTTTCTGTTTCTAACTCTAGCTCTGCACATAAAAAGTTCGGCACAGGAAATTCTGTTTCTAACTCTAGTTCTGCACCAAAAAAGCTCATGATAGTGCAAATCTAAATAGAGAATGTTTAAAAATATTTGAAAATTCAGGAAACGACCGCCTCCAAGGACAAATCCAAATCGTCCGAGTCAAACGAAAGTGAGTGATCGGAAAAGTTTGAGTCTGACAATAGTTCACAATATTACAAAATATTTCTCTTTTATAAATAGATATACTAAAGTTTTTTTAATACCGTAAATACTGTAATAGTACCGCACCCCCATAATGACGGTGCGGAGTGTTGCGTAGTTTAGCTTTGAACGAGTTTTTCTGACACTGATTTACTATCTGCGCTTGGAAAAAGCTGAATTCAGGGCTATTTTTGCAAAGAATTTTTGAAAAAATTTGGGGGGGGGGGGGGGGGGTTTTCAACTCAAGATTTATTCCTCCGAACCGGTTCCATTTTATCCTTTTAACATCTCAAAAGTCTTAAGAGAAACTCATTTTTTTGCATCTAAAGATCAATCTTTCTCAAAGCAATGTACAAATGGGTTTTTTTTTTCTTAAAAAAATGTGCCAACGATGGAATATCTTGGGTCACATGCTTTGAGGGGAAAAATAGAAAAGAAAAACGAATGATTCCATGAAAAGAACAGTTGCTCTTCCATTCATTGCTTTCTTTTTTTCGGGGAAAAGGAAAAACGAGGAACAATCTTTGGCAACAGTTTAAACCCGATCAACACAAACAAACTCAGCTGACGGAGAGTTTAGAGGAAGAGGAAGAGAAAACCTTCTTCTTCGTAAGAACTTTCATTTTGCTAGCCATGACAAGATTTTTTTTGGAAATCTTTTGGAAAACGAAGTGTTTCAACAGAAAGTCGGAGTTTAAACCCCTTCGGGTTTAAAAACTTGAACAGAACACCGAGACTTCGAAGTGTTCTTTGTGCTCGAACACGTAAACGCATTCTTCCTGACTCAGAGTTGATTCTCACTTTTCACATCATATCCATGAGCTGCTTTGATAAAAGAGCTAAATTATGCCAGGAAACGTGCGTTTACGTCTTTGAGTTCAAATTACATAACGCGAAAGGGGAAATCAGAGACAGACTCTCCATGAAAGTGTATTCCTCTAATCGATTTTCTAAATTTTCGAAATTTGTCAACTTTTGACAAACCATCATAATCTTGCCTTTATTGGGTAAAGTTATGGGTAAGATTACGGTAGTTTTTAGTTTTTTTACTCGTTTTAGAAAACGGATTAGTCAGTAGAAAGACATATCGTATTTCTTCGAATAGAAGACCGGGTAAAGAGTATCATCGCGTACTCCTGCGTAGCAGCCCTTTTTAAAATTTCTTTTCTGCATAAAAGCTTTCAATCAAGTGCTATAGAGCTGGAAAATGACTCAAAAATACGACATGAGCTAACGGATTTTTGAGCCATTTTCCAGCTCTATAGCACTTGATTGAAAGCTTTTATGCAGAAAAGAAATTTTGAAAAGGGCTGCTACGCAGGAGTACGCGATGATACTCTTTACCCCGGTCTTCTATTCGAAGAAATACGGTAAATACTTTACTCTAAATATTCTCAATTTTTTGTTTTTTCAGGCAAGGAAAAGTCGGTTAAAAAAGAAACACAAGTCGAGGGAAGCGGTGAAAAGGTATAGAAAAAGTTGAAAAATCGAATTAAATTGAGATTTTCAGGAAGAGACACTCACCGCAGCGATTCCCGAACAAACCATTGAGGGATCGGGGGCCGAAGAGGAAAAGATCACTTTGAAAACTCTTCTTTTAATCTGATTTCTTTTATCTTGATTATCTTGAGTATTTTAATATTTGTATATATTTCTTTTATACCTCAAGAAAAGACTTTTCAATGTAAAAATTTCAATATATAGATTACAATATAAAGATTTCAATATAAAGATGACCCTTTAACAACCATTAGCCTCTCTCCTTCTCTTCTGCTCACTACCACACGGTTCATTTCTTTTCTTTTTTTGTATGTTTCTTTGATTCTTTGATAAATATTTCGTATTTTTCAAGGAGTTTATGAGAAATTTTTGCAAGAGATCATCTCGAAAAGAGCAAGAAGACGAAAACAACAATGGTCTTTCGGGATCTGTCGACTACCGTAATCTGTCTCGTCTCGACTACCGTAATCTGTCTCGTCTCGACTACCGTAATCTGTCTCGTCTCGACTACCGTAATCTGTCTCTAGTTTTTACTCAATTACATTTCTTTTGTTTTCTCATCGGTTTATTTAGTAATTGTTGATAGTTTTGTTGTGGATAGGCGAATGGAGTGGATTCTGAAGATCTGATCGGGTGAAAGCTCGGGAGCACAAGTAAATGTAATTACAGTCGAACTTCGATATAACGAATTATTTTTTCGGTCGTTATATCGAAGCTCGACTGTATATTTGGACTAAAGTCTGCTTCCCATAGAAACGGTTTCCTAAAATGTGTTCACTTTCGCAAACAGCCGTAATCTTGCCTCCAGCTTTATCCAATCAATCTACTTTTTATAGCTCTTTGGCTCCTTTGTGAGCAAAGAATCAGAAAAATATCTAGATAGATTGGGAGCAGGATTACGGTAGCTTTAGCGTGCCACTTTTTAGGAAACAGATTAGTGAAGGGGAGCACACTTTAGTGGAATATATGTAGTACGAGTATGAAAAAGTAAATGTACGTCGAAATATACAATATACAGGGTGTTCCAAAAAAAAGTCAGTTTAGAATTTCTAGTGGCTCTTGGCGGTTGTTGTGGTGCCAAAGTAAATCTTTTTGGCGGGTAAATTTTTGATATTTTGTCACTTTTTCCCGATTTCATGACTTTCCTATACATGAAATTTCTAAGCCACCATGGTCACCACTAGAGTGTGGTGACCATGACCATGACCACCACTATTACTCGAGAGGAACGGGACCTAGTCAAAATAGCGCCCCCAAAAACAGCGCCATTCAAAACAGCGCCCGTACAAAAATAGAATACGTAATACGTTTTCTAAAAAGCACCTTATTGAGAAAAGTACCGTAGCCAAACCGTTAGTTTACATTCGATCAGCCCGATTTTCGTATCATTGACTGAGCATTGTAATTCCTGATTGAATGATACCAAAATCGGACGAATTAAATGTAAACTAACGGTTTGATTACGGTACTTTCTCAAATAAATGCATTCTAAAAAACGCATTACTCTAGAGGAACACACTCTAGTCACCACCACCGTCAAATTTTCGCTATAAAATTAAAACTTTGTACTGGCATCGTGGTGCATAATAAATAATATTAGAATAACTACAAATTTAAATCATACACTTCATTGGTCAGCGTTTCCTTGGAAAAACGGAAAACTTGTTTAAAAAAGGCGAGTTGAAAATCTCTTATGTACGACAGATTATCAGATAATATAGATGAGTAAAATGTTTGGCTAAAAAGCTTAGTTTGTATATTAATATATATTAATATATCTGACACCACGATCCCAGTAGAAAGTTTTAATTTTATGGATAAAATCTGATGGTGGTCGTGACCATGGTAGCTCAGAAAGTAATGAAATTGGGAAAAAGTGACAAAATATCAAAAATTTACCCGCTCAAAATATTCACTTTGGCACCACAACAACTACCAAGAGCCACTAGAAATTCTAAACTGAATTTTTTTTTGGAACACCCTGTATTCTCTTTCTCTTTCTCAGGACAAGGAAATCTCGACTTTGAGACTTTCAAATCAAATTCAAAACCCTTACTCTTTTTGTAGTCGAATCGATTTCTGGTTATTATTATTGAACTCATCGATGAGTGAGTCATCTATTTCTCATGACTGGGCTAGGTTCGTTTCAAATCGATCTCTCCCAGGTATGTTCTCTTTTCATCGTTTTCCATTCATTCCCCTTTCCACCTCCTTCCCCTCTCAACAATTTCACAATCTCCTTTTCCCGAATTTCTCTCGATTTCCCTTTTCTCTCCATTGTGTGCAAATATCATCCATACTCAACCACACATTTTTTTTACCCTTTTCCAACACTTACCTGTTCAAGTTTTATATTAAAATTGAGCTTTTCTTAAATGTCTCAACCACCCCCATATTATAATCAGCAACCGGTTTGTTCTAAAATGAATTGAATTGAATATTTGATTGTTTCAGGGATATTACAATCCACAAGGCTACAATCCCTACCCAGCACAGAATGCCCCGTATCCAGCTGGACAATATCAACCACAACCACAAGTCATGTAAGGCTTTAGAGAAAATGCTCACTAAAATACCCTAATCATTCTAACAAAGTTTTTTTCTAATCTTTCTATAAAGCGAGCTTCTATTTATTTTGAATCAAAATATTCTAAAGAGATTTTGAAGAGCTACCGTGATCCCTTCGGACTCTTCAGATTATTCGTTTCGTTTCATTTTGATCTCATTCACTTCACGTTTTGATTTCTCAATCGAATAAATGAAATGAAATGGCAAAATCTGAAGAAAGATTATGGTAGACTTTCAAATTATCCATCTTTTATAAACGCATTATGTGAAAGAGTCAGTCTAGCTCATTTTTCTAAAAGATGGATAATTTGGAAAGCTAAGGTAAACTCTCATTTAGTTTTGATAATGGTAGAGTTTCACTTTTTAGACAACTCTTGCTGAGTACTCTAATTTAAAAGAGCTACTGTAAGCAGAAACAACCAATTTCTAGCATAATCTTGACTCAATTTCAGTTACCAAGAAGCTCCTCGTCGAAACGATTGGCCGGGCGACGATTGTTGTTGTAAATGGTTGGCAACGCTGGCTTGTGGTTGCCTGTTAGGGGAAATGTTCTGTGATGGGCCGTGTCTTTGCTGTTATATTCCGATTCCATGTCCAAGATGGAGATGAAGATTCCATCTTTCGCTTGGTTTTTTACTTAAAATTTGATTTCAATGGATATTTCAATGGATTCGGGATTCGATGGTGTTGTGGATGAGATTGTCGTTACTTGGAGAATGATTTGATCTCTAGATTTTTCATATGTTTATATTGGTGCTTTGAACTTTTTACACAGAATATTATTCGTATTTGAGTTTTAAAACTGTACAAATTACCGTCATTTGTGTGTTTTTGATCAATTATTTCACTTATTTACTTAAAAATACTGTAAAATTCGTAATCTATTCCTTTACAGATCACAAAACTGAATAATTTACAAGTTCCAGTTCTTTTTTAAAGCTAAAGTCTTGTTAGTTCAATATTTTTAAGCTAATATACTGTAGGAAAAGATTAGAATGTTTTCTAAAACTTTTCTCTTACATAATCCGTTTTCTAAAACGAATAAACTTCTCAGAAAACTACAGTGATCTCTAGTTTTATCTAATCAATCATTTAAACAAATGTAAAAAGAGGTAGATTGGATAAAAGTAGAGACATAGTTACGCCGATCGAGTCAGGGTGAGTGAGGGAAATGGTTTGGCTTGGCTTGGCCTGGCTTGGCTTGGCCTGGCCTGGCTTGGATTGGCTTGGCCTGGCTTGGCTTGGCTTGGCTTGGCTTCACTATTCTATTCAATGCTTCTTCAGCTACAGTACTGGACAATGAAATATCATATTTGAAAACGATCGTCACTTTCGCGCGTCTGTAACTCCCCTGTCTTTGAGTTTAAACTATTAGTGTTATACATTTTCTGAAAGCTCTTTTCAAGGGCTACACAATGGTAAAATTAATATTTAAAAATACGGTAAAGACAAGGGAGTTACAGACGCGCGAAAGTGACGATCTTTTTTCAAATATGATATTTCATTGTCCAGTAGTGTAGTTACGATAGTTTTTAAAAGTTGAGACGTTTTAGAAAATGGATTAGAGAAAAACTCTTGCTGAGAAAGTTGAGAGTCTGATTTGGTATTTTGATATTTTGATATTTTTTAGCATTGTTTACTTGAGCTCAAAAATGAAAACACATTCGAATTGTACCCTTTTCGCAACTGCTTACTATCAGAAATTAAGCAACAAAAATAAAGCATGCAAGTGCGCCAGAAAGGGCTCGTTTACGCATTTGAATTCAAAGTACACCGATTAATAGTGCGACTTTACAGTCTTCCATCAAATTTTTCCCTTAAAAAAACTTTTTTCACTCGACATTCCATAAAAAAATTGATAACACTCTTCGAGTTTTTTTTTTTCCAAAATTTGAAATAAATATTTCTTTTATATTTTCTTGCTGATAAAAGCCTTTCTTTTGTATTTCTAGATACTCTTTCTCTTTTCTTTTTTTTTTTCATCTTTCTTTTTTTTCATTTCTTTTCAATTACACATCATACAGACCAAACAAGGCACATTTCTCGCTGCAGAAAAAACACATTTTGACACAGGTGAGGGAAAAACCCTTTAAATTTGTGTTTTTTAACAAAAATATTTTAACGTAACAATTTGATTTTGTTTTTAGACGATAAACGTTTAGATTTGCACATTTTTAGGCTCTCTTCTTGTTTGATTTGATTTTGAATTCACTCTTTACAATCCTGAAATCCTTGTACCAAGTGCAAAGCATTTGTCTGAATTTTGAAATATAAACCCTACCAGTTTTGGTGGCCTTGTTTCAAGTAAAGAATCCAAGTACTATAGCTAGAGTATGGTTGCAGTAGCTGTTTATGAAGCCCAAGCAGTACGGTGGCTTTTGTCCTAATGATAATGTTTTGCCATGAGCTTTGCTTGGGTCATGTAAGAATTTGAGTGCTTTTTTTCCACCGTAATCTTTTTCTACTTTAAATCGGCTTACCCAAAAAGAACTCATTGGTTGTTTTTAGTTAACGGAATTGGTAGAGAAGAGTCGGGTAAATGAACCGAGTGAAAGAGAATTGGGAAAGGGCCAAAAATTGGCAGATGGTCACTCGATTTCTTTTCCCGAAAATGGAGAAAAGAATGGATGGATTTCGAAAGAGAAATGGTTGAAAGAGAAGGGATATTCGATGGAGATGGCGAGAGGAAATTCGATGGATGACCAATGCCCCTTTTCCCCTTTCACCCCTGCTTTGGCCCCTTTTACTCATAGTCCAGTTTTACTCTTTCAAAATTCACTACACCATTTGTTTTTTGCCCTATTTATTTTTAGATTAAAGTAAAGCTTAAGCCCAGAGATTTTTAGGATCTATAAGTCAGGCAAGAGCTCAGACCAGTTCCTGGGTCCCTGGCTCTTGGCTAGTCCTGGCTAACCCAGGGACATTTATGGGCAGTAAGTCTGCTCAAAGCTAGATCAACCAAGGCCAGGACTTTAAGTGATTCCTATTCTGAATCCTATTTTTCATCTCTAGTTTTACTTTAGCTCAACCTATTCTTCGTATGATTACAATTTTAAAATACTCAATTAACTCTAAACTTCAACTCAAGCCAGGCTATCAACCAGCTCTAGTTTAGATTTTTGATTTCTACTTCCATCTTCCATTTCTACTTCCATTTTTTGATTTCTACTTCCATCTTTATAGATCCAGTCTTTATATAGAACTGTATTTGTAGGGTTTTCAAGATTTAGTTCCGTGTAAGACTGAGTTAAGTATTATATTCCTTTCCTGTACTTTCCTGTACTTTCCTGTCATCGTTGCTCAATGTCCCTCAATCCTCTTGTTTTGAAAACTCTCCAAGTGTCACATGATGTTGAGGCAACTTATTTATGCAAAGATTTGTCAGTCAAAAAAAATCGTAAAGGACTAACATTCACAGGTATTTTCCCCTCTAATCTCCGGCTCGTTTCGATGGGGGAAACCTTTCTGTGATGGAAGAAGAGAAGGAAGAGTGACGGAAGAGTGAAGGAAGAGTGGAAGGGACGCTCAGTCTCCTCTCCTTCTCCCTTCTTCTTCAAGAGGAAACTCGTTCTCCTGTCCCTGAAACTTCTCTCTTGTATTCTTCTCTTTTTTTTCCTTTTTCTTTCCTTTATCCAGTCATTCCTTGAAGGTTCTTCTGGTATTCTTCTCTTCTCCTTCCCACTTTATCGTCAATGATTTCCACCTTCAGCCTTTCTAAATCCAGCGCCATTTCACAGTGAAAATCTTCTCGGCATTACTGAAATTTTTCAGGCTATACTACTTTTGAAATGAATCTTTCTACCATAATCAATCAGGTACATTTGATCAGCTCATTTATTGACTGAGACTTGTGATTCCCATTGAATGATACTAAAGTTGGGTTGCTCAAATGAAAACTAGTGGTTTGTTACAGTTAGTTTTTAAAATAAGCTCTTTTTAGAAAATGTATAGCCGAAAAAAACGTACTCTAAGATGTAAGTTGAAGTGATCGATTGAATTGATTGAATTGATTGAATTGATTGGATCGATTGAATTGATTGGTTGGTTGTTGGATTGATTGGATTGGTGATTGATGGTGATGATTGGATTGATTGGTTGATTGGATGTTGAGTTGTTGGATTGATTGAATTGATTGGATTGATCAATTTGGACAAGTTTTTATCTCATTTTCTATTGACCTAGTATTATACTTTTACCTCAGTTTATGTTATTTACAGATGTTAGCAATACTTAAATATCTAAAACACCAATTCGAGAAGACTCTAGGACGTTTTGTGGGAAATTTGTGGTATCCATTTCAGGTTCTTTTTTCGGGAACTTCTTCCACCCGATTTTCCCCGTGAGGCCGAAAACCCAAGGCGGAAAGTCGCGATCGAACGGAAGGAATCCCCTCTTTTTTCCATTTCGCATCACTATCGCAAACATCATTTCCCTCAGGTGAAGGGCCAACGATCCTATTGTCCTCTCTTTTTTGGAAGACTTCCACCAAATCTCCTCGATTTTCTTCGATTCTAAAACTCTTTTTATATTTGTACATTAAAGCTGTTCATTTGTTGGTCTGATTGTCAATAGGTGTACAACGGAAAAACCGAGATTTGACCACTTCAACAGCTACTTTTTCAAGATTCCTAGAATTGTCCAAGCTCTATTTTTTGATCTAAAAACGCCTGGAAAACTAGTCGTTGCAATACTCAAATCTCGTTTTTCCGTTGTACACCTATTAACAATCAAATCGACAAATAAACAGGTCTAGTGTATATAAGCAAGATAAAGCTGGACTTTATCTCCGTTTTGTCAGCGTCGGCTTATTAAATGCTTAAACCCATTTGCCGAGATTAGATCTCTAGAGATTGTCTTCATCAAAAGATAACATTAGTCTAAGAAATCCTTATTCATTTTGTTGATCCAGTCAACAGTCGATGAATCAGTCCTCTGCTCACTTTCCCAACTTTATACCACAGGAAGGGTCCCCTTCCCTTCCCCAATCTTATCAGTCAAATTTCACCCTCCATTTCTTTTCCTCTTTTTTCAATTTCACTGTGTCCACACTCGGTTTTATTGCCGAGAGATTCGCGAGCCTTTCTTTTTCCTGAAATCATTTCCTTTTAACGTTTTTTTTGGGGAAATTTCATTCTTTTACAGAAGCTTTGCAAGTGTGGAAGGGGTTTTTATAATTTGAACTTAGTCCAACGTGATTTGCGTAAACTTTTGCTTTCTGGCGCACATAATTCTGTACTATTAAAGCGTTCCAAGGGTCGGTGGTATTTGATTTGCCTGAGTTACAAGAATATCAAGACTTTGTCCAATTATGAATTTCTTTTCTTCAATGCTTTGCGAGCTTTATAACCAATTAATGCTGGTACTTCTTTTTCAACCTTATTAAGGCTATTCAACCCTATGGGTAATGAAATCGGGTAAACATAGCCTGGGTGGAGGGAGTGTTTTTTTAAAGAATGCGCGCGATTGGAGTGAGTCCTTTCTTTGCCTTTCTTGTCCACTCTTTCTTTTTTTCTCAACCACGCCCCCAATCCAGACTGACCGCTCATGCGTACATCGATTTTTCGTGTACCTTTTTTCATAATCAAACACCTTTCCTCTTTTTTCCTTCCGCCGACTCACTGTTTCCCATATTTGAGCTTGTTCTTTATCAATAACATCAAGATTAATCGATCAGCCCACCTCTTTTCCCATTTCCCATTTGTGCTGACTCCTTCAACCTGACTCATTTCTCCCCTCGCCCTTTTTCGATAGCAATGAATTCTTATAATCGGGTGAGTCACTCGAAACGATTCCAACTCATTCCTTATCCCCTTGCTAATCTACAAGGGTTTTCTCAAGAAATTGCCCTTTATTTTATCATCGACTCTTTCAAGCCAATTTTTCAACGTTTTTTCTCTTCATTCGTCAATTTATTTTCCCATTGCCCTTATTGTTTCACCAGCTAATCGACAAAGTGAGTCATTCCCTTTCCAACTGAACCCATCTCTTGAAATGAGTGTTTTGTATTTGATGTGAAATGATGTTTCCTCTGAAAAGCCCTCTCTCGACTCTCAACACAACATTTGTGTGCTTGTTGTCTCTGTGTTTGTTGGGAAGACTCGACGATCGCTCCCTATTTTGGGATTTCAAACATGGGAAAAGACGAGGAGGGGCGACGCGCGGTTTTTGTGCCCACATGCGTTGCGAGAGAGGAGAGAAAACAACCCCCAACCCGCAGGCTTTGTCAACTCTTTTTTTCCAATTTTTCCTCACTTTAAAAGTCTCATCTTGCCCTAAATCCAAATTCTTTTAACCCTTTAGAATCTTTATCAAGTTCTTGGTAAAATAAATGAAAATTTCAGAGGCTTTTATTTTTATGCCACTTTGAAGCTGAAAAAATTTCAATTCATTACCTGAATATCTTTTAATTATGAATTCTTATTAATCACAAGAATTCGAAAAAACGATTTCATTTGGCGCAGTATCGAGCAGCTTTTTAAAGCCGGGGAGCTTGCTTACCCACATTTTCTCTTCTCAATTCCAATCCCGGTGAAATCCTTTGCTTTCAGTGACGATGAGTCATTGTTTATTTTGAAAAATCCTGTTTCAGCTATTTTCCTTTACTCAAATCCCTTTCCAATAACTTTACACTGAACGTTTACCGTTTGAATTTCTCAAAGCCCCAACTTTAGCCTGATGATCCTCAATTGCTCGCACAACGTAAAAAAATCTATTTGTCGTTTTGCTTAGGCGCTCTTTTCAGAGAAATAGGTTGTTGCTGATAAGGACTCAACCAGAATGTTCAGACTCACAACGTGCAAAGCTTTTTTCGGTTGATTTGTTCATTTTTTTAACATTTGTGCTGCTTTTAATGCACCAAGCCTATGTTTAAATTTCAGATAGTGCCGTGATGTTAAATAGCGAACAATTGGAGGATTTGACAGAGCGATTTAAGACAGTAAGTTTTTTGTTGAATCAAAAAGTTAAAAATCTAGGTACCTGTTATTGACGTAACTTTATAAAATGAAATGTATATTTCTCTTCAGATTTGGTATTCCTTTTTAGGTTCAAACCGGTGGTGGCGGACATTTGGAAAAGCACGATGTACAAGAAGCACTCAAAGTTCTTGGAATTGATCTACCCGGTTATGAGGTCGGTAAATTTGATTCTTGTCAGTATAACTTTCTTTAAGATGCGCGACTTGTTGACAAGATTCGGAAATGCTTCAGAAGTTTCGATCGCCGACTTTACAACACTTTTCAACGAACTCGAACAAAGAAAGTCGGCCGAAGTTAAAAGATGGAAGCAAAGAATTGGGTCAGTGATTTGGATTGGTGAAATATAGTTCAATGTTTTATAGGTCCGTGCAGGGAACTTATCAAATACCAAGCGAGAAGCAAGAGAATACGGTTCACACGATTCGAGTCGAGGAAGAAGTGGCCTTCTCAAACTGGATCAACTCGAATCTTGGAAGTGATCTCGATCTTCGGAGATTGCTCCCCGTCAATCCATCCGGTGGAGAATTGTACACAAAAGTTGGAGATGGTCTCATTCTTTGGTTGGTAGTTATTCCCAGATTGTCATATTAATTTTGTTTAGTAAATTGATCAACCTGTCTACACCTGATACGATAGACGAGAGAGCGATCAACAAGAAGAACTTGAATACGTACACGAAGCTGGAAAATTTAACCTTAGCGTTAATGTCAGCTCAAGCAATTGGTTTGCTTTTATTAAATCGATTATTTTATTTTCTCTTCTAGGAGTCAATATTGTGAATATTGGAGCCACAGACCTTTCCGTTGGAACTCCTCATTTGGTGCTTGGACTTTTGTGGCAAATCATCAGAGTAGGTTCTTTATGAGTTGGTAGATTGTATGAATATTTAGATTGGCCTCTTCAATCAAATCGATCTTCATCACGTGCCTGGTCTCTTCCGTTTGATGCAAGAGGGTGAAACCCTGGATGATCTTCGCAAATTGAGTCCTGAAGAAATTCTAATGCGATGGGTGAACTATCATTTGGATAAGGTTTGTTCTTTTTCTTTTAACTTAATAAACTCGATTTTGTAGCGACAAAACGGGGTTGGTAAGATTATTGTCGTGGTTTTATGTGAAAATGTTGTGAAGTTGCATACCTATATTCTTTTAAGGATTAAACAAGCAAGGTATTTCTTATTTTAGGCAGGTGTTCAACGACGCCTCACCAACTTCACGGGCGACATCATGGATTCGGAGATCTACACTCATCTTTTGCATCAAATCGCACCAAAGGGGTCCGGAGTTTCTCTTCATCCGCTTTCCGTGCAGGTATTGCGATTTTCTCTCGTTGAAAGTATTTGCTAATTAAGGGTAATGTGAACCGAGCTGGCTCAATGCTGAACGAGGCCGATAAGCTGGAGTGTCGTGAATTCGTGACGCCCAATGATGTGGCCGGGGGAAACTACAAGCTCAACTTGGCCTTTGTTGCCAATTTGTTTAACAAACATCCAGCGCTTCCCGATCCTGGGGCTGATGAGCTTCGTACGTGGCTTTAATTTTTTTTTATTTTTTATTTTGGAACTTCAGCTGCCGAGGATATCATTGAGGAAACTCGAGAGGAAAAGACTTATCGCAACTGGATGAATTCGATGGGAGTCAACCCTTATGTGAACTGGCTCTACAGTGATCTCAACAATGGAGTGATCATCTTTCAAGTTCATCATGGCTTTTTTTTCCTAAAAACATTTATCTTTTAGCTTTACGATATTATTAAACCTGGCATCGTGAGCTGGAAACGAGTTGTGCAGAAATTCCACAAGCTCAGAGGAATGATGGATCAAATTCAGGTTAGTTTTCCCCGTAACTTTGATTTGAACGCAAATTTAGAACTGTAACTATGCTGTTGAACTTGGCAAGCAACTGCGTTTCTCACTTGTTGGCATTCAAGGAAAGGATATTTATGATGGAAATCCAACTTTGACGCTTGGTTAGTTTTTAGTCGTGGCTTATCGAAGCATAATTTTACTTTAGCTCTCATTTGGCAACTTATGCGCGCATACACATTAACCGTCCTTGCTGCTTGTACTCAAAGCGGAGACAGTCTTCCTGCCGATAAAGATATTGTGGCTTGGGTTAATAATAAGGTTTGTGGGGTTTTTTTTACTCGAAAACAAACATTTATAGCTTGCATCAAAAGGCAAAACTTCATCGATCAGATCATTCCAAGACTCGAGCATTTCGGATGCACGCGTAGTACTTGATCTCGTTGATGCTATTAAGCCCAACGTCATTGACCATAGCTTGGGTATGTCACAAAAGTCTTGTAATAAAATTTCATGATTTGTTTTAGTGAAGAGCGGCTCAAGTCAAAACGACAAGATGGAAAACGCTAAATACGCAATCACATGTGGTCGCAAAATTGGCGCCAAGATCTATGCCCTTCCGGAAGATATCGTTGAGGTAGGCCAAGTTTTATTCGGGAAAATGAAAATGAAAAATCGTTTGAAAAGAAAATGAAAACTGTTTTAGGTTAAACCAAAGATGGTGTTGACTGTGTTCGCTTGCTTGATGGCTCGCGACTACATGCCCGACATGCAAGAAGCTGCTCCTGAGTCTACTCCTGTGGTTTACGATAGTGCAAGCAATGGTCATTACGATGCGTATGGAAATGATGAGTAAATTTATTCAAAGTTACTGTGATGTCCTAATAAGCTAAAGTTTTTGTACTGGCTTTCAATGTTTTCATAGGTTATTTGGGCATCATTGTTTTATCGACTTACCTCTTATTCTTTTTTAAACTCATTTTATCCATTTCACGGTATCCCTGCTAGCTAAGCGTCACTTAAATCTTACCGTAACACCTGTAATAGTAGCGCCCCTCCATAATGACGTACAGTCGCGTAGTCCGCGCTACTATTACAGGTATTATGGTATGTGTTTTTCTATTTATTGCCGTATTGCCTTTGCATATATAGTCTTACATGGTGTATGTCAATTCACCGATCCGACTGTGATTTTGCTGATATGACTTCCATACCATCCATCATTCATACCATCTATAAAAGTATCATTATGGCCTCTTTATATACTAAATCTTTTGATGATTTTCTCAAACAGTAGCATACAAATTTGATTGGTGTTAGGGTTGTGCTTATGCTGCTCCAAGGACATAACCCGGTTCGGTTTCTCTTCGCTCCTTATAGCCTATCTAAGTCAAACTGTTTCGACTCCAATCAAAATACACATTTCGCTTTCTTTTATTCATTGACGCTTTATATCGTTGAGCAAATTTTACAGTACATCAATTGCTTTAGCTATTTTTACAAATCATTTGTGTATCAAGATGTCATCTTTGTGTTTTATTTGTCGCCCAACATGTTTTTGTTGCTCGTGTAATAAATCGTTATTTCACGTCAGAGATAAATGCCGCGTAGCGTTTGAGATGGATGTAAAAGTGGATTATGATTGGTTGCATTGGGTTTTAGGAAGTTAGAAATTTACATACATTTAAATATTACCATTTATCGGAGCTTTCCAATTTGTAGCCGTCGAAAAGGAAAATTTGTTTTTCTAGGCTCTTTTTGTAAATCGTTTCTACAAGTGCTAAGCGTTGAATTCCTTCGACCGGCCTTCTCTTTTATTGATTGGTTAATTTGAGTTTTTGCTTTTTTATTCTAATTCTGCTTCGGTTTATAACTATTCATTTAGGACTCACGATCCCGCTTCTTTTGATCTTCACAATCTTGTGCTTTTGCATGTGAAAAACTCAAAAAGGTCGAGTTCTTTTTCTGTTGATGTTTCTCTGCTATCAACAAAAGACCCAAATTTGTGTCTGCATACTTTTCCTTTTAGTTATCAGCAAAAGCCGATTGTTCGAGTTATAGTCAGAAAAAGAAGCACGAAAAGCAAAAAAACCGAATTGTTAACTTCGAAGTCATCGGTTGTCCAGGAAAAGAAGCCGGCGATCAAACTTAAACCATCAAAAGGCTGGAAGCCAGATTATTTTGATATTTTGTTGTAATGCTGACGTGTAGTCTAAATTCTGAATACAACATCAAATATGGTCATGGGAAATATTTTTAGGGAGAAGGGTTTCTGAATTGGAATATGACTGAAAGATGGCAAAGCTAAACTAAAGTTAATTATTTTAGAACTTATCGAGCGTTCACAAAGAGTCTCCGTTCATGGGCTGGCATCAACCGAGGTAGCCGTTGAAATGGCTTTTGATATTCTTTTTTCATTCAGTCTGACGCTGAACAAGTTCAAACGAAAACGATCAGACAGAGGACAACTTTTCAACAAACGCAAATGGGTACGTCGTGAATTTGAATCGGTGCTTTACTTGTTAACTTCCAAAACTTTTCTAAATGGTTTGTTTTAGGTGTGATGAACAGAAGAGTGGCTTGAATCAAACGCAAACAGAAATCCCTTCAAAGGTCAGTTGTTAGCGATATTCGTTTGAAAATATTTTTTTAGATTGTGAGTGATATTCGAGAGGCAAAGCCAGCGGAAGCAGTTCAGCCAGTTTCAGCATTTTTTCATTTTTTAAAAATTTTACCTAATTTATTTTAGGTGAAAAAACGTGGAGAAAGGAGCAACACGAACTCGAAAAATAAGCGGCCTCAAAAAGTTGAGGTGGATTTTGATTTCGTTTAAATCGTACCATTTTCGAAGAATTTGATAACATGCTGTAGGATCTGTGTTTAGGATTCGCGTTACATCGCCCAGTAGATTTCACAAGTCACCGCCACGCCACGCCTGTCAAACAACGCAGATCCTTCTGTGTTGCCGTCAAAAAATCGGTAATCGAATTTTAGACCATAAGCTCACTTTTGCGAAATGTTTACTCATTTAACCGTGACAGATTTTACTTATGGCTTTCCAGTTATAATATAATTTTCCTCGATCTTCGTCAATAATTTCTCACTTTAGGATACGACTCAGGGTAGCCCAAAAGAAGCTCCGAAAGATTTTACCGTGATGCCGAAATTTGAAAATTTACTTTCAGTAATTACGGAGTAAACTTTTAGCTCGCTTTGTTTTGATATTTATTCGTAAAAATGATACCTTGAAATTTGAAAAGAATTCCCGCTTCTTTCTGATATTTTCTTGTTGTGGTTTTCATTTGAATTGGCGGGCAAAGGCAAGCCACTTGGCGGCAACTCAAAAGGGCTTTTTGGGTGAACAGGACAGGCAGGGCAGCCCATGGGGCTGACTGTGACCTTCAAGAAAGAGGTGCAATGGTAGGGCCATCCAAAAAGAGACAGGGTCTATCCCCTTTCATTCTTTCCTTCCTTTTCTTCTCCATGGTATACAGGACACAGGACGCCTATTCCTTTTTAGGCCACTAGGCTGATCGATACAGATGTTCCGTGTGATACATTATTCTATTCTTTTTAAAAATGTAGTAATTGAACTGTTTTCTCAGAGCAATATATAGTACTGGTAATCTCATCGAGTTGCAAGTCTGAAATCGTCAATCATTAGAATACGTTCATTCTCTCATTCATCGTCGTTCATTCTCGCATGACCACTTAAATCCTCCATAAAACATTTTTTTCTTTATTCAAATTGATGCTGATCAAAAACCCACTTCTTCCCATCAGAAACTCTTTTGATGGATAAGTGTGATTGCCTGAGGCGATCTTTCCCAGGTGTATTTGTCCCTTTTCCGTCAAAAATTTCCCCGCGGCTCCCTTTGATTTGCTACTCTGTCGAGTATAATTTCCCTTACAATTATCGAACTCGTTCTGATAAACAATCAAAAAACTTTACTTCATTTCAGTGATTGAGCCCATATTTCTTTTTCTTAATTTCAATTTTGTTTAATATTCATTTACTGTAAATTTAGAGATGTCGAGATTATTTGGAAGGGTCGGCAAATTGTGGGGTCGAAGCAAAGATCGAAACAAGGAAAATGAGGAACCATCGGTGGGTTGTATTTTTTAAGACTTAGAACCTTAAGATCATTTTCAAACGACTGGATCTTAATTTTTGTTTTTAGCCCAGAGACAACCAATTTCACAACGCGAGCAGAAGACCATCACCTACATATGGAAGGCACAATCGACCGACTTGGTAATGATTTAACTACAAAATTTAAGTGTTTAACAAGTTTATTTAATTGGGCTTCTATTTATCTCTTTTTTTTGTTAGGCACAACTGTGACGATGAATATCCTGATGATAGAGCGTGTTATTCGAATGCGTTAGCTCATCGGAGACAACACCCAAAAGGGCCAAAGAGTTGTCCCGTTGATATTGAGGTTGGACAATTTTCCTGAAGCGTTTTTTTAAAATTTTTGAAAAATTGTTATAAAAGCTTTGCCTTGTTTTAGGAAGACCGCGGCTTACCACATGATCGCTCATTTGGCACCGAGTTCGAGTTCGACCGTGCATCTAACAATCGAATGTTTCGCCAACAAGAACGATATAGCCAAGTGAGGTTTAAAGATCATTTGTTTTATTTGCAAGGGTTTTTGCTAATTTATACCTTTAAGAGAGACAACATTCGAACGACTCGAAATCATGGACTATTGGAAAGAAGTTCAATCGAAAATGAATCTGTTCGCATTCAGGTAGTGTTATTACTATTTTCAACTTTCACCTTAATATGTTCAGGAGCTGGAGTCCATTGTGATGAAGCTACAGGTGGCAATTAGTAAAAAGGATCAAAAATGCAGAGAAGATTTAAAACAAGCGAATGCTATGAAAGATGAAATCGAAAAGGTTTGATTATCTTTGCTTTATGAATTAAAATTAAGAAACTATTTAATGTGCTAAATTCAAATAAAAGTTTAGGCACTATTTCGACAATTGGGCCGAGTACGCCAAGAACGTGATATGTACAAAAAACAATGTCGATCCCTCGAATTGGTTGGGGTTTTTTTTAATTGTATATCAATCAGCTAGAGATTGATTTTGTATTTTAAAAAAATGATTACCTAATTTAAGTATGTTTAGCGCCTCGAAAATGCGCTCCAATATCAAAATTTGCCCATTCTTCCTCCGGGTCTTCGCCAAGGAAGCGGTTTTCGTGGAATGCAACCCGACAACACACCAAGCACGTCGGCTCTCGAAAGCATCACTGGTGCTGGTAATTTTTTGTTTTTAAAAGTTAAGTAAAAAGTATTTTAGGAGAATCTATGACGACGCAATCAAATTGCTCCTTCTTGGAGGAGTTCATGCTACCAGTGCCTTCTCTTTCACAACATGAACCACTTATAGCAACGGTTTTTGAATTTTGCTTAACATGTGCAAACTGATAAAAGTTTAGAATCCATTTGAAATTCCTTTGGCTCGACCGTTGGAATTGGAGGAAAGAGGCGATGAGCAAAAAGATTTTCGGTAACATGCCCTCTTCTCTTACCAATGTTAACACCGATTTTTTAGACAAAGACGCTCATTAAGCTATTCTTTCCACAATGACAGCCATATTGAAGCACAGCGATCAGATGTACAATCCCGGTTGAATAACAGTGGAAGGGCGCACAGTGAGGTAATCTCGAGTGGCTGTATCAATCAGAATGTTCGTATTCAGACAATTTTATTGGAAGACACCTCCAGCACAACATCGACGATTCATCCAACTCCTGATTGCCCTGAAATGTCACGACCATGACGTCGAAGTGTTTCTTTTGATTTTGCTCAAATGTCTTAACTTTTGGGTTTACATAATATTTTATGAAGCTTTTTCTAATCTACTCGCTAGCTTCTTCCTATTTGTTATTGTATGATATAATAATTTATTTACAATCCGAAAAAAGGGAAACAATAACAAAAAGATTCACATGATTCCAATTCAAAATCATCCAAAAGAGTCGAATTATATATACTAAATAAAGAGGTAATTTTTGGTTAATCGGGCCCGAGTTAGTTCTAAAATTGGGTTTACGACAAGTTATTAGCAAACAACTAACCCTATTCAAAAATTGTTCGAGCAAATCCGCGAGTTGGGGACATTCAGTGATGATTCGCTCCTTCAAAAACGCTGTCTCTTCGGCTATTTTGCGTTCACGTTCCTTTGCTTCTTGTTCTTAACAAAAACTGTACAAACTTCAAAAAAATTAACATTTAAAACAATTTTCTATTCAAAAAATACTTTGTTCGGTCTGTTTTTTTAGCTCCATTTTCAAAGCCAAAAATTCCTTGGCCATGTCGTCTAACGATTCAAGTGCGACGCCCTAAACATTTAGATTTCTCAACTACAATAAAAATGCAAATTAGTTTACAGTTAATTCGCTTTTTGCAACAAGACTAGCATACTTCTCTCGACCTTCCTCCAGATCGATTGGGCGATGCTCTTCCTAAAGTTCCATTCATTTTTGCCAAGCGCAGAATGGAGAAACCAAGGCATTGTCGATTTTCTCCATTTGTTCTTCCCATCGAATTTTGAGAGCTTCAAGAGCTTCCGCTTGTGATCGATCGTCTATCGCACATCTAAAAATCTTATCATGAAAAGGATGATTTCAAACAAACTTCTTGTACGCATCACTAACACATTTTCTTTCTTCTTCGAGATGCGACTTCAACTTTTTGATTTGTTCGGATGATCGCTGATGGGCTGTTTCGATTTTTGGAACTAAAGACAACGTTTATACAAGACAATACAGTGAAAAGTCATACCCAATCCATTGAGCGCCGTGTACTCGCCAATAATTTTTTGTCCTTTTGTTATCACTTTTGTGTTTTCGTGAAACTCTAAATTAACAAAAAATGCTTTAAACGACGGTAACCGATTAATAAATATAGAAAAAGCGGCTAAAGTATAGTTTACTCCCCCCCCCGCAGACCAATTTTTCTAGGATTTTTTTATTTGCTGAGTCTGAATATTGATATTTCGGTGCTTTACGGTTATCGGGAGGGGGGGGGGCGGTAAGTTTTTTAGGCAACTTGCAGCCCAATTTTAGAACATACTCTTACCCAAAAAGCTCTTAAGATTCTTAAACTTAGGAAAATCAAAATCAATGGTACCTGCTCGCAGTTTGTCCTCTTGTACCAGAAAATCATCGACATCTTTGACCGAGGTACGCTGATTTCCCGTTAGCGAATCGTGATCTCGATTGACGACATTCAAATTTCGGAGATGCTCTTTGTCGTAGAAAGCCATACTTGAAAATAAGGAATGAGAAGGGGTTACACCAATATGAATGGGTTTTTGCAAAAGTTTCAAAGAATATAATTTTGAGCGAGAGGATCTTTTTCTTTTGATTTTTTTCTACAAAAACTCCAATGTTCCACGGTTTAGAAAACGGTAAAACTTCCTCGACTATATACATTTCGAGTGTCCCCCCCTGTGTCCCCCTTTTGTCCCCCTAAAGTGTCCCCCCCCCTAGTATCCCCCTATTTTTTTTCATATCAAATCACAACTTTTTGCTCTCCAAATGTGCTTTAACTTTTTAAACTCAATGATCGGCAAATGCATCGAACTCGAAACATCTTAAACGGAAAAATTTAGGGGGATACTAGGGGGGGACACTTTAGGGGGACAAAAAGGGGACACTTTGAGGGGGACACTTAGGGGGGCAAAAGGGGGACACAGGGGGGGGACACTCGAAATGTATACTCGACTACCATAATCTTGCCTCTATATTTTGCCCAATCTATCAACTGTTGATATCTTTTGTGTTGATTACTCCTCGCACAAGACAAACGTAAATTGTTTGGTGTAGAGGAATACGGTAGTTATCGAAAGTGTTGACACGTTTTAGAAAACGGTTTTTTGATACGTACTCTAGTTTCAATATTTCATTACTTGGTTAATACTCAAATAGTGGTTAGTTGTGAGGGTGTTTTCACGTGATTCTCCCCTTGTCTAGCATGCAAGATGCATGGGTGTATTGTGATTTGGTGTGCCTATAGGGGATAAAAGAAAATCTCTTTAAACTCTCAAAGTTGAGCGATTATTCTCAAGGCAAAGGGGCGGAAATCATTGAATCGAATCACCAAATCCGCACTCAAACGATTGAAATGCCAAAAATCTGTCTCTCCGAGATGTGAGTACAATTGCACTCGATTTGTGTTTCCATGAACCTTTGCAACAATCACTTTTTTTTTGCAATAGAAACTCTGAGACAGTTTTTGAATTTTTAGATTTTGAAGATCGATTTTTTACATTTTATTAGACTCACACCTGGCTTTACAAGAGTTGTGATTAGTGTAAAGTGTAATTTTTGCAAGGAAAGCAACACAATACAGTGCGTTTCAAATTCTTAAGCGCACCCGTGTTTACTGTTGTTTAAAGGTTTCTTTTTCTTTTGCATATTTTATTATTAAATTTATAATTTTTATTAATTTCCAGGTAAATGGCACACGGAGAGCTGCACACGGAGAGCTGCACACGGAGAGCTGCACACGGAGAGCTGCACACGGAGAGCTGCACACGGAGAGCTGCACACGGAGAACTGCACACGGAGAGCTGCACACGGATTATGAGAAAGGCAAGATTGATGCGCGTTTGAAGATTGGTGGAGAAGCAAACTCAATAAGGAAATATCGCAAAATATTGCTTAAGAATTTGAAACGCATTGTATACCATGAAAGTAACTTCTTAAAGCACTTTCATTGGTCATAGTATTTTTTTTACAAAACTCCCCGAAATCTAATCAAAAACGTGTCTCCCCTTGTCGATGACTCAATTTGATGCTTTGGAAAGGAGAAACTTTATTAAACCTCGCTTTTTTTGGGTCTTTTTATGAAGCTAAATAAGAGTACGATAAAGAAGCTATATAAAAATAACATCCATTAATAAGTGACTATTATCCCATTTTCTTCTTTGTTACAATATGCCTCAAAAATATTATCCCTTAGTATTATTATGGAATTGTTCCCACTTCCCAACAGAGCCTTCAAAAACTAAAAACTCAGCGCTACGTGGGTATTCGTTAGTAATTTCCCCTCAATCCCTCGACTAGTAGTTCCGGAGCAGCCGTGATCGAATGAGGATCTTTGATCGGTTAGCAAGGGAAAAGAAAAGCTAAAGCTTGCTTCTTTTGGCCCCTCTTTTGTCAATTTTGATCTCTTTCCCAAAGCGTCAGTTGTGTGATAGTCTTCTTTTCCTTTCTTCTTTTTCAATTGAATAACTGACTGACATGCACTCATTCTCTTCGGTGCATCCTCCTCCTTCACTTTCCCCCCTCCACCCTTTTTTCATCTCACAATTCACACTGGCAATCAGCCAGTATCATACTTTTCAACTCCGATTCCTTTTCATACGTACATGTGACCCAAGAAATGGCTAATAATAGAAAGAAAGTGATAGTTAGATTGAAAAGCAAGAGACAATAGCTAGATATTAAAGAAAGCACTGAAATCCTGGCTTGGGTTGGAGTAGATTGCATGCAAAATCTTTAGATCCTTCTCGACTAATGCGTTCCCTAAAACGTGTCAACTTCCTCGACTACCGTAATCCTTCTAGTTTTCACTCGATTTACATTTGATCTGCTTTAATGAAGATTCACAAAGGATAACAAAAGATAGATTGAATAAAACTGGTGACAAAATTACGGTAGTTGAACGGATTGAGCTCACAAACATTCAATACGTATACCGTAATCAAATTTTAAGATAACTTTAAGACAAATTTTAAGTTTCAGTTTGTGTCTTGATCCAGATTTCCCCCCTAGAGTCCCAGTGTTTTTTTGATCTTTTCTCCCACCCGGAAGTGTCAATATGAGATTTACCCCTGCCAATTTTAATTTTGATCCCCGCAAAGAGTGCCAAGTGGTCGAGCAAAGAGTTATGAATTTCCCGGATGTGAGCGAGTCTCTTTGAGTTATGAGCTTACGTTAGCGCTTCTCTCAAACGAGAAAAATGATCACATTTTGCACGAAAATGATGAGAAGAAAAGGAATGCAAGTTGCCAAACGGTGGAAAGATCAAATTTCATGTGAAGGGAGAAAGGGGAAAGGATGAGATTTGAGATGATGACTTCATTGTCTGTTTCTCTTTTTTATCTTTTTGGGGGAAAGCACGAGGAGATAAAAGAAACTAGAGTGTCTTCCTCGCGACTAAAGTCGTTTCTAAAATATGTACTCTTTTGAAAGCTACCATAATCTTGGCTCCAGAGTTTCAATCTATGTCTGATTCTGAGGGTTCACGAGGAATACCAAAGGTTACAAAAAGGTTACAAAAAGACACGAGTACGTTGGATTACGATAGCTTTTGAAAGGACACCTTTTAGAGTACGCTATATGTATTTGAACAGTGAGAACTTGTGACTTGATGTTAATAAGTGTGGTCTTTACATATCTGACAATGAAATAACTATATTTTGAGTATGAATATGGAAAGAGTGTCTATTATTAGATGAGAATTCAATGTGTACCTGCAGTTGATCCGCGACTTTTGGTTGAATATGATGAAAAACTGGAAATGGCTTTCTATCGAGAGAAGTTTAGTGTCCGGAAATAGCTCTGGGTACATGAATTTGATCGTTGATCAATCAATACACAGTATGATTTGCCATTCAGGATGTACTTTGTGCTTGCAAACTGAAACCCACCCTTTCTAGCGCACTCACTTTCCCTGGTTGTCACTTTGTACTCAATTTGTCACTTCTCGGCTGCCAGTAACGGTCTTATATCGAGCTATACGTGCACCAGAAAAGATGCGTTTACACTTTTAAGCCTACACAATAATCATAGAGGTTCTTTAGTGTACTTTGTGCTTAAAAATAGAAACGCATCCCGTTTGGTGCATTCAATTTCCCTGATTGCTTAAGATAAGCAAAAAGATTGCGTTTTTTGAGTGCAATCTAGGCTTAATTGTCTCTTTTTTGATATTCCATTCAATCGATAAGTTCATGAAGAATGTTCCGATGAAATTAGTCCCCCTCATTTCATTCATTCGATTTGAATTAAAGCTCAAAAAGGGGAATTGTTGAAAAGAGAGAGTCTCACCAAACCAAAAAAAAAACCGTCCTAATTTTTCCGCTCATTTGAGCCCACATTTGATTTGGAGTCGAGTCGTTTTGGGGGGAAAGATTTGAAGAGAAAAAAAACAAGAAATGAACAAAGACCACTCATTTCAATGCCAGAAAGATGCGAGCAAATCCTCAAGTATTTGCAATCACCTTCAAATCACCTTTATTTCACCTTCAAAAATTCGTTTCACAATGATTTCAGAGAAAAGGAGCGATTCTTGGAAATGTTTTGAAAGAAATAAATAACGAAAATAACGCATTTGTCAAAATTGACTAATCGGGGGAATTTCTTTTGCAAGAATTCTCAATTTTCTTATCCAAGTTTTGGTAAGTTGTAAGCCAGCTAGGGGAAAAAAATTGTGTAAGCATTTCGAAACCAGTTTAACTGGCAGGGATATCGCTTTGTGAGCTTTTGCTGCTATTTTTTTCTGCACTATGCCATATTTCGAGTGCCTTCCTTCATCATTTGCGTATCTAGCACGCAAACTAGCTATTACATTTAAAAACTATAAGGATTTGAATGTTTCAATATGCCCAACTACTCTTTATTATTTCACCTTTAATTCCCAGCATCCCCTTTCCCCAAAAAATGTCAATGATTGCCCATCTCTTCCTCATCGAAGCAATAAAATCCCCGAAATTTTCCTTTTTTCTCCAATCATGAAACTCTCGTCGTGCTTTGATTCTCATTGCAACAGAGTCGTCCTCATTTGCGCAATTCTTCTCTTTTTTTTTTGGCTCCCACTCGTCATTTATGTACTTTTTTTGAAGAAAAGAGAAAGAATTGGATTGGATTTGGATCGTTGAATCCATTTTGATGTCATTCTGATGCAATAGGGGAAAGGAAGGGAAGGTTTATTGTCAGCTTTAGTACTGGAGTAGATTTAGTCAAACTCAACTTGTAAACGATGTCGATAACATTGCCGTATTAAGGGTTTTCTAAAACGTGCCACCTTTCGGAAAACTGCCTAGGTCTTGCCTTCATTTGCGGTAACTAAAGTGTTTGCTAAAACCTGCTAAAACTTTGGACATCTACCGTACTCTTCGATTGTTGACCTGCTAAGAAAAACCGAAAAGATATCAAAAGTGGATGATTGGATATAAAGCTGAAGTCAAGATTTTATTTATTTTATTTACGCATTATTTTATTTTACAATTTTTCGGTTTTCTCAGAGTGAATGAAATTG